TGCACAAAATACTCGTCTTGTACATTAAATACAGAGAGAAAAATAGTTTCAATCATAAAACTGTGTTTGGTGGAATAGTCCAGCTGACAACATGCGCTGCTCAGGATATCGTGCAGGCAGTAACTCAGTTTTACTCCAAGCTTGAAGTGGACATACAGAGAATGGTTATGCTAACCTCCGATGGTGCCTCAGTAAGGACACTGTCACATTGCAGTTCATGGCAGTCCAAGTTTTGCCATAATTTATACAAAACATTGTTAAAACAGCTATGTTAATATGCTACACTTTTGGTTACATAACTTTTGAGTTTTTCACTGAAAGTGGACAAACACACTTAATAAAGAAGTCATTTGATAGAAACTATTGCCATAATTTTATTGTTTTAATGAAAACATGTAACTTGAATGTATATGATGCATATGATACTGCGTGACCACAATTTGCATGTCGCATGTTGCTCACAGTGGTCCATGGGACCGCTCAGGGTGTTTGTGTGTTTGCCCAGACACAAAAATAATTAGAGGGAACATTGTCCCTGACTGTTATATACTACATACAGTGGTATCTCTACTTTGGAAATTAATTGGTTCTAGAAGAAATTTCTTAACTAGAAAATTTTGTAAGTAGAGACGCATTTTCCATGTAAATACCCTAATCCGTTCAAAGCTCACCCAAAATTCAGACATAAATGTTTTGTAAAGCATAAAAATGCATCACATTTTGTAACAAATACATGTTACAATTAGACTATTGAACAATAAATGAGAGTTGTGCCTAATGTAAAAAACAAAGAATAGAGTAAAGAATAAAAACGATGGTCGTTTAACTTTTAACTGCATCCTCATCATTTTTTGCCCTCTTTATTCCATGTTCTCTCTCAGAAGCGGTTTTTGCCTGCCGTTTTATAAAGAACTGATCCAAGGACGTTTGCTTTTGTCGATTTTTAACAATCCTTCGAAAATGTCCAAGGCAAACAGCAGCATAGTGAGCGATCGCCCGACTGGTGAACACTTTTTCTGGGTGATTCACATTTACGTAAAACTATCGGAACGCCTCATGGCCCGATGGTCGAATGACGAGGACGCTGCCTAGACACATCTCTATCTATTTACACATAGAGACACATTCGGTAGCGGCCCTCTTAGCCAATGGGATGCCAGAAAGATGCTAGGTCATAGCCAATGGCAGAGCAGCTATAAGTATCTTGCGTTCAGGAAACTCGGAGCTGCGAGTGGCAGGCAATACGCTATTTTTACCTTGGGTAAAGGTCGACCTAAGCGGTGACATTTGGATGCTTTACGAGGACATAATGATGTCGCTCCTACTTGGGTCTTTGCCGGTGAAAAATCAAACAGGTTCATCAGAAGAAGTTGTGAAGCACCACCTCAGCAGAGCACTGGCCTTGGCGCAGAACGCGCACCAAGTTTTTTTTTTCTTTTTTTGGTGGAAACGGGGTAGTAATTGGGTAGTCGTCTGGCCCACATCTTAAGCACCAGTTTCAAGCACCAAAGCGAGAGCCAATCTCAGTGGTGGAAAAGAAAGAAGAGGTGCTAACCTGGGCACTGGCCGGGAACTAGCATTAGCACAAGCGCGCTGGAAAAGGGCCATGGGACCAAACACCGTCATGTAAAGCAGGGCTGAACAATTTTGAAAAATAATATACTGTAGTTTTTGGACTGTAAATTGGAATTTTTTTTCATAGGTTGGCTGGTTCATGATTATTTGCTAAAAGCAATAAAGTTGATCAGTTTGAACATGAAATATATTTTCTTTGTAGTGTATTCAATTAAATATAGGTTGAACGTGAGTTGCAAATCATTGTATTCTGTTTTATCCACGTTTAACACAACGTCCCAACATCACTGGAATTGGATTTGTACAATATCATTGTTCTCCAGGCTTTGAGTGAGGGGAAATAAATCATGTTGCAAGTGACAGACCTGTTCCACTTTTTCTTCGCAGTGAACCTCAACTTGCGCATGGCAGCGTGGTCGGAGATCGATCTCAGCCAGAGGTTCCAACTTCCCGTACTTGTTTACCAGACAATGGTATCTTCAAAAAAAAAAAAGATACACTTACACAGAGAGCCCTCGGTTAAGATGGTCCCGACCTACAATGCTTTGTGGTTATAAACGGTGCGCATTAAACCAGCTAGCACCGCTCCGTATGTGCAAGCCAAATAGAGGAGTAAAATTTAGGAATTGTTGACTTTTTTTGGGGGCAGTTTTCATTTTGATTTCATATTTATGGCATAGAACGTTTTTTCATCCAAATTACTGTAAAGATGACTCTACTCCTGGGTGAGGAAAGGTTCGTGATACAGACAGACTACACATTTTTTCAATGAATGAACAAATCTGGGTTAAGTGAAAAAAAAAAAAGTCGGGGATGCCCACCAACTACAAGAAGCTACCAAACCATATTGCATCCCTTTCTCATGCAGATGCAAGCTTTACTTTTCACGACACTGTTATTATTGTAATCTACAACTGCAACACCATTTAAAACATCTTTTTGTTTCGCTCTATTATGCTGCTATGAGGACTATGAAAAGAAAGACGCGTAAGTGCGTATGATTCTTCTGTAAAAGCCACAGAGAATTTGCTCCAGAGACCTAATCCACTGTCAGAGCGTTCCCTCACAGTTGCAGTCAACACCCAACATGCATTCAAAGGTAACAGTCAATTTTAAGTCCCACAAGCATGGAAACTCAAAAGTCGTGGGCGTATTCATGCTGATTACTTTTGGTGGAATGTGTGAATATGAATCGTTAAACTACTAAATGAAACGGCTCTGCCAGGGTCCATCAAATCCGAGTGTTATCACCAGCCTTACAAAGGCATCTTGCGATGGGCTCATTTGATTGGGTGAAACTAATCAAGGGGCCGGTGAGTCTACTTTATATCGGCTATAGCAGGGGTCCCAACCGCCGGTCCGCGGGTCATTTGGTGCCGGGCCGCACAGAAAGAATAAATAACTTACATTCCTTCCGTTTCATTCATTTCGGAATCTGAAAGATGTTTTATTTTGAAAAATTACCGGATTCTCTGTTATATCAGTCTACAGTAGGTGAACGCAGGTGAATGCGCGCTTCTCGGTCATGTGATAGGTTACTGCATAAAAAAACAAACGTCTTTGAAAAGTTTTTCGGGAAGGGGAAAAGGCCCAGCCAAGAGACAGAAGAGGAGCCTACGACTTTCAACAAAAAGAAGCCTACATTTAATAGACAGTATGAGGAGTCCTATTTAAAATATGGCTTTTTCTCAACGGGAGATTCACACGCACCAAGCCTACTCTGCATAATAAGTTGCGATGGTGAGTCGTATTTTTCATGCACTTTTTATTTGCGTTGTATCTTATTTTGGAAGGCACGTTTAAACATTACCATAGCGACCAGAGAATGTTGCAGCCATTATTATTATGTTTCGAAAATACCACACTTTTCACGCAGGTCATATCATAATATATTGTTGTATCCCCGAAAATATTGTCGGACATGAAACCGGTCCGTGGGGCAAAAAAGGTTGGGGACCTCTGGGGCTACAGGGCTAGAGAAGCGCTGGTGACCAACTGCCATCATCATCACCACCCATTTGGGCTTAGATGCGAAGATTCAGTCCACTTTAGCGCCGCTTTCAGGTTTGTGTTTTATGGAGGACGACGGGTAGGTGAGGAGTAGAGGGCAGCAAGCAAGCGCACAAACCTGTGAGGGAGCTCCTCCTCGGGACAGTGCAAGTAGTAACGGATGAAGAACCTCTCAGCATCTTCTCTCTCACTTTCAGTTACAACGCTTCTACCCATTTGGGCTTAGATGAGATTTGAAGATTCAGTCCACTTTAGCTCCGCTTTCAGGTTTGTGTTTTATGGAGTACGACGGGTAGGTGAGGAGTAGAGGGCAGCAAGCAAGCGCACAAACCTGTGAGGGAGCTCCTCCTCGGGACAGTGCAAGTAGTAACGGATGAAGAACCTCTCAGCATCTTCTCTCTCACTTTCAGTTACAACGCTTCCATTCAGCAGTGATATCGAGGGAAGCCTACAGACACAATCGTGATGAAGCTATCAGAGAGCTATTTGGAACGCGGTGTAAAAATGCACTAACAGCGTAATTGACAGATGGAGAGAAAGTGTCCCGAGCATGCAGTGTTAAAAGAAACCAAAACAATCTCCTAAAGGCATTTGCTTTTAATGGAACTCACTGCGCTATCATCAGGCTGCGCCGCTCCTCATTTGTGTACGTCTGCAGTAAGGGGATTCCTTGTAATCGCACTTCTTCCAGCTTAGGAAAGAAGTTGAGCTTTTCAATGTCTTCCCATCGATTAAGACCTGGTCACAATGAAAAAAAAAGAGTGTACAGAGATGACTTTACTTTTAATAATTGCTTCAAGAGTTGCTCATGGGGTGGAAAACGTCCAGTTAATTTTCAAAATGTTTTGGGTTAATTTCTGTGTGGAGTTAAGCTGGGGAGTTTTGGAAAGCTATCCTATTCAAGCTTTAATATAAGCATTTGGTTTGGTCATAAGTAGACATTGAGGCAAAATAATGCAATTAACCCTTTCATGCACCCTGTAACCTGATAAGCTGTCCACTGTAGTAATCACTGTCCCTGAAAGGGTTAAAAGAATGGCATTTCAACATGCATTTCTAACCACAACTGTATGAAGTTGAAATATTTTTTCTGAACAATCAATTCTTTTATTGACCAAAAACAGAAATGCTGAGTTCATAACTCATCCATCCTGATCCAACACAGTTAAAATATTAGCAAAGCAGCACCAAGCCACCCAAAAATATGAACAAAGTCCATTTCAACATATTATAGTTTCCTTGTAGAAATCATCCGTGCTGGTGATGGAGAAATTCATGGGCACTTGTTGCTGAATAGAAAAAAAAATGTTCAACTGGACAGGAAATCCTGACAAAAGCATTTCATAGACATTCATGAGGCCTGGAAACAGTTTGAAATTGTGGAGGGAACGTCCGTCTCCTTTGCTTCTGGAGGCCGTGTTTATTAGCATGCAGGCATAATATTCCTGACCCATGCTTCTGTCTGGCCTCCTTGGGCACAGTCGATGATTTTGTCGCAGTATGACACGGTCCTGCTACTCATTTTACCCGTTACCTTACCACATATCAAAATGTGTGCTCAAATTGCCTGTCCATGCTTGCTGGCAGAACATAACGCTTCAAAAGTGTCACAGACAAATGTGTGTTGTACTCCTCAAAATAAAGCTCATTATCGCCCGTTGTGACACCATGCGCTGCATTTTTTAATTTCAAACATTTGAATGAATCAGTAGCTTCTAATAAGGAGCATAGTATTCATTTTTATTTATACGAGAGACCTCAGGAAGTGACGTGGATTTGTATTTCTGGATCCTAGTCATTACCGCCCTTGGTTTCAACATACACTTGTAAACAGGTAAAAAAGACAACAGGATGAATAAATTCAAACACCAAGTCTACAAATACTGTTTTGGCTCCTTCTATTCTCATATCTCTAAAAATAGATTGAACACAGGCTCTCCTCGGATACAATTTAATGCACAGCTTAAAAAGTGAAATGGAGAACGATGAGCTGTAAATAACACAAAGCTTCTGGATACTGTGACAGGTTTGTTCATATTTTCAACTATTTATGAAGGCATTACAAACCAATAGTAAAATGTCCTTCCATCCGTTTTCCTAACACTCATCTCGGGTCACAGAGGGTGAGAGCAAGGGACAACCGACACCAAATGGGCATTCGTGCCTATAGACAATTTATAGCCTTGAATTAAACCAAACCAAGGGTGACGCAAAAGGATTGCAATCCGGTTGATCATATTGTTACTAATAAAGCTTTTTATCTCATTTTTCAGATTGTTTGAAATTCTGAATTTAAAAAAAGGAACTTGGAATAACGTTTTCTGAAAGTGACTTGGACAAATGAGCAGAGAACTTTTTGCATTGGAGACCTATACGGATCATGGACCTAAAATGTACCGACAAAATTCAGATTAAGCAGAAACTCACCCAGGGAGATAGTGACAAAAAAGTCTCATGGCTCATTGGTTTTGTGGGAAAAAAAAAAAAAAAAAAAAAAAAAATGATGCATCCAGGATTGTCACAGGCACTAAAGTGGACACTTGGAGCATTTTGGAAAGTCAATAAAATCTAGGGTGGCCAGGTGGTGCAGTGGTTAGTGCGCTGACCTCACAGTGCAGAGGTCGGGGGTTCGATCCCGGCTCCATGTGGAGTTTGCTTGTTCTCGCCGTGCCTGCATGGGTTTTCTCCGTGTACTCCGGTTTCCTCCCACATTCCAAAAACATGCTTGGCAGGCTGACTGAACACTCAAAATTGTCCCTCGGTGTGAGTGCGGATGGTGGTTTGTCTGTATGCCGTGCGATTGGCTGGGGTGAGCAGCATCACAGTGTCCCAGCACACTTGGGTGTTGTTGAGGACGAGACGTCGGACCCGAGAAAATGCTTCAGCGCACTGTGGCTCAAGCGTCATCCCTCCTAGCGGGTTGGAGCTCAGATTAAGAAAATCCAGATTGGGGATGTTTGACACAATTTTACCGATCTGAAAAAAAAAAGCAAATGTTGATATGAGAATCTTTTTCGGTCACTGTTGGATTGTGTGCTAACAAAAACAGGAGCCCAGAAAATAAACCTGAGCTGATAGGCTACATGGAAACCATGTGCCATTAATACAAAGGCATTAAGCAACCTGCATTATTTTTGCGGGTTATCCGGAAATACTGAAAGTGAATAAATGAACAAACCCAGAGACAGCACCTCATGCCAGTCCTGCAGCTTGTTGTGGGACAGGTCCAGCTCCATGACATGGGCACAAAAGGCTGCAATTTCACTTTGGTCACCTGCCTTGCTGATTCCACATCCATTCAACACCAGGACACTGGGCAAGTTCAGGCGGTCTGAAAAAAAAACATGGAAAATTACACTAATATGACTATAGGAAGTTTTGGGGAGTTAATAATTAAAAATTCAATGTACCGGTACTTTTAATTTACTTAATAGCATCATAAATGTCTTAAAATTAAACAGGCACATGCACTATTACTCAATGATTTGCTAAAATGTGTAGTGCATCAAAATCCAAATATATAACTATTTATATCGATTCAAAGGTCATTTTTCATTATCAACATGTTAGGAAACACCATACATACACATACTACACCATAGCCTTTGGCATGGGTGTGTTTGAACGTCACTATGGCCTACTAGTATATCGGACAATCTTTCCGTCACAATAGTGTAAATACGGACAGTATCATGTATCCGAAAAATAGCTCATATTTGCGACCATTTTGCTCACAGTCTCAAATCCTGCATTGTCTTCGTGCTTATCACATGGACAGGGTCCCATAACGGAACAGTGTTTCTCCCACTGTATGCTTCCATTTTATGAATCATCAAGATGTTTCAATGTTAAAACTGAAAAGCATTATCAGTTGTTTTAAATCATGTACACAATACACAATCTAAAATGTTGCCATTTCTTTTCCAAAAAGATGGTTTCAGCATCGAGGTTCAAGATATACATCGAGGATGTTGACTGTTGGTATTGCTAGTATCCTTCATTTATGCTTACCATTATGTTGCTCATTAGCCCAAGAATCACTTAGACCAAGATCGACTTTTCGATCAACAACCTCCCGCGATCGACCCGTTACCGCACACACGCACGCACATACACAAACACACGCCATGATGAGCAACAGCCTGACACGGAGGCATGCGACGCACTTTTGCAGCCTGTTAACGATCGGAGCTCACACCTACCATTTTCAAGTGCTTCCCTTGGCCCTCTAGATTCCTATTCTTTGCCCGTGCCCTCGGTGAATTGTACACGAAACAAACTCTGAATGAGAATAATGAAAACATAAAAGATGTAGCGCAAGAGCTCTGATCACAAGCTGTAATTGCAGACTGCTGAGCACTAACAACTTCCAGTGACACAGGTCATGCGCCACCGTAGGTAAAAGATTTACCTGCTTTATTTTATTGTATTTTTTTTAATACTTTTTTGTGAAATGAGACTGATAGGATGATTAGGGTGCAGTGCACATTAACACAAAAATATATTACCAACATGCACAAAGACACACAAATGGTTGTATTTTTTCTCCTCTACACCCCTCGCGCTCGACTTGGGACGAGTCTGCGATCTACCGGTCGATCGCGATCAACGTAATGGGCACCTCTGACTTAGACATTTTTTCCATTAATTTTTCACAATTAAACTGACCTCACCGTGTTATGCTCTACACACTAACAATTAGCTCACTCGAGAAAAGAGTGATGAGAAGAGCACAATATGCACACATCTATCGATTAGTTAAAAGTTATCCAGCTCACCTTTCATGGGGGACCCTTGGGGACATGCAGTGGGCACCACCACCACCCCCATTCCAAGACCTCGACGACACGGAAAATTCTCCGGGCTGTACTTTTCATTGATCACCTCCACAAAGGTTCGGCCTTCCTGGCACACTGGTGACTCCATTGCTTTGTCTTTGGTACAGTTTCCCCCTGTTTTGACGTGGATTATAGCAGTGACACAACAGATATTAGTGGGCCAGATTATTCACAGATCACAATAGATTTACTGGTTTGCACTGTAGTCCCACAGCACCAAGATTTGGGCCGGGATCTAGGTTTGAATCTATGTTTTCCCTGCACCTTTGTGATTTCTCTCAGGGTACATACACCAGCTTCCTCCCATGCTCCAAAAACATAACTTGGTGAGAAAAAAAGGAATTTGGTTTGAATGAGAGTTTGAATTCTCTCCGTCTCTACCTTGTCATTGAATGGCGATCAGTTAAAGGTGCACAGTACTGTACTGTGAAAATCACCTCTCAAGTCATCTGGTATGGCAGGTGTCGGCCAAAATTGGGTCGCCGCCAAGTAGATCTTGCCTGCCAGATGACGATGAAAAAAAATTATAGTTAGAATGTCACACTAGTCAAGGTATTAAAAGTCCCTTGTTAATAACCGTGGTTTTGTTTCGCGGCAAAACAATGAGACGTTCTGCTTGAAATGTTTTTTTCACAGCAACGTCACGTTGAGGCGCTTCTTTTCCGGGTTTCTGATACACGTCCAATCGCGTATCTGTAGCCACAATTCAGGCACCCGATTGGCTGCATAACCAACGACGAGATACGTCATAAGAAATAGACTGATTGGAACACGAAACATTTCTCCAGCGAGCTATACAAATACGCTCGGTAGCTACATTAATGTTCCAATCAAAAGAAATAGGGAGAACTAATGTGAATTAAAGGAAACATTGATTATGGACTCTCCCGGTCTACTTCTGTGTTGGCGTCGCTTTACAATCGACCGAGCGAGACGGCAGACTCACGCCGGCATATGAAGTCGTCTGGCTGGGAATAGTGGACTATTGGACCTCCGATTTGCGCAACTTCCATATAAGAGACAACCCTCCAAATTTAAGCATCTCAGTCAGGACTGAGAAGAAACTAACTGGGTTATTTGTTACTTGGCTTTCTCTATACCCGTGTTGCCTTTATTAAGAGTTCCTGTTCCTGTGTTGACTTGAATTTTTGGACTTCGGCAAACAAAATCACTATTAATAGACAGTATCACATTTCTAATGCTTTAAATAATGAATACAATACAAGACATGATGATTTGTATAGCGCTTTCACAACAGCGGCAGCTGTAACAAAGCGCTTAGCAAAACAGTTAACATAAAGTTAAATAATAAACACAACACATAAAACACGGATATACAACAATAACTCAAGCGAGCAGACTGTGTACTGTCATGCGATACAGTGAAGATATACAATAACTCAAATTAGCGAGCAGACTGTGTACTGTCATGCGATACAGTGAAGTTTCTTGCCGTACAGTGAGCCTTCACATCATATCCTCCTGACTACCAGTAGTTCAAATTTGACCTCTGTAGAGGACATTTGTAAACCTTAATATCTCCCACCCAGTGCATCCAATCGCATTAACTCCTTTTGTTACTCTAAAGAGGACATTCAGTGCTTTCCAATGATACCAAATTTGTAGGGGTTAGAAAAAGTAAGAAAATGGCTTCCCTCAGTGCAAGCACTTTTTATGGGAAGAGGAAAAGTAATACTTTTTATCAACACTTTTTGTCCTGAAATGCTGTTGGCATTTTATTTATAAGACTCTTATGAACACGTTAAAGTGTTGTTTGAGTTGTTTTAAGTGTATTTGAGCCTAGTATTCAAGTGTTTAAAAAATGTGGTGGAATTTCAAAAATTTCTTTTGGAGTAGTCCAATTACTTCACATAGATTGGGGAATTTCAAAATAAATGTGATTGGACAACATTTTTTTTTCCTGGTAGTCAGGAGGATATTGCAATAAATATACCGTGACATCAATACCGTGATAAGCTTTTGATATTGTTCCAACAGGTCTTAGTTATATTGTTTGGTGCTCTCTACCGTCTTTGATACCGATTTGTTGTTTTGCTTTACTGTTGTGTATGTTAGTTGCTCCATGTACAGCACTTTGTGTGCAGCGATGGCTGTTTGAAAGTGCTCTCTCTATAAATACATTTGAGTTGAGTTGAGTTGAGAGGTCTGCTTGATGAAAAGCTAATTTCGGCCTGTGATAGGATTGTGTGGAAAAAATTGTCCCGCGGCCAAACTAAGGTGTCGATCCCCGTGGTCTGGGCACATGCTACATTCGTTAACTGGATAAGTGGTTTGTATAATGGACAGATCAATGGCCGATGGTACTCAGAAGTAAGGACAAGCTTTAATTGCCACTGGCTGACATATTTCAGTTAAACCACATTTCAATTACAATTATTGTGCAGTCTAAATTAGCTAGCAAACAATATGCCCTCTATTTAAATATCCCTTGAACTATTGGAACATAAAATGTTATATTCCAGCTCATTTTAAAATGCAACACACTGCTGGTTTACAGTACTGTACTACAATGTTGCTTATTAAAATGATGAGTGTGGTGAGTAGTGGGGCTCTTTGGATGCAGAGTTCGAATGAGACTGCTATGGAATCTCCAGTAGAAAGGCATACATTATGTAGTGGCCCATCAGATCATCAGACGGGGGAAAAAATATTAAAGGATCTTGTTACAATCGTTGATGTAATAAAATGGCCTGCTGGTAAATTGTGGTAGTGTCTAAAGCCAAATTGCTCCAGTAGTGGGGCTCTTTGAATGCAGAGTTCGAATGAGACTGCTATGGAATCTCCAGTAGAAAGGCATACATTATGTAGTGGCCCATCAGATCATCAGACGGGGGAAAAATATTAAAGGATCTTGTTACAATCGCTGATGTAATAAAATGGCCTGCTGGTAAATTGTGGTAGTGTCTAAAGCCAAATTGCTCCTCCCCTGCAAATGTAAAGTAGTGCTACTATTGTTGTAATTTTCCTGATGTATTTTTACTTTGCAGCTGTAATCAGAAAAGTTCATCAAAATCAGTGGTTCTTAACTGTTATAACACCGGGATCTGTATTTTCTTCTTGTCTTGACACACCTTTATAGATGTATGGAGAATAGAATGAACATTGTATAAAAAATAGACTTTGAAAACAGACATACAGTATATACATTTATATATATTTTAAACAACCACACAGACTTGCATGTTAGGCCTACCACACAGAGCGATGTGGTCGATTGTGACTGAACTGCACAATTCTGAACTAATAACTGTCGGTCACTCACACTTGGTGACTGACCCTTATACAGTAGGCACGAACCCATTGAAATGGAAAAACTGCAACCCGTGGTGTTCTTTTTGAGGCACCACCTATTGTAGACAACTGGTGTCCAAACTACGGGCCGAGGGCCATTTGCAGGTTACCTACTGGGTTTTTTTTTTTAGCCCCCGGCATATACAAAATAATCTTTTTTCCTAAACTTTTTGCTTTGTGTCATCATCCAATTTATGAACATATCAAATAATGATCCTTAAGTATGGTCAGCTTGTGGGATGCAAAGCCGTGAGCCACCCCAAAACTTGCACAAAAAAATAAATTCTAAACTATTTGCCTTCCAACCTTTAAGACAGCCTTGGCATAGCAGTTTCTCAAAAGATCATGATATCAACAATGTGTATTTTCTTGATTGACTGATTGGTTCAAGCGTGTTTAACAAGTCTTTTTGCATTGCATTTGCACCATGCAAGTTTTCTTTTGACCTGCAGTGCTATTCAAATTGGTTTGATGTAGCCCCAAAGCATATCGGTAGCAAAGACGTAGCCGGTCAGTAGCCAGAGGCTGAGCTACACTGTGTTTGTTCATAAGAAATTATATACAGTACTTGCTGAGAGTTAACTGTACAAAGCTTAAAAATAAGGCTAATAATACATACGGCTAATATTACACTTCACTACTTTGATTTTATGTTTCGCTTACTCTGTGCAATTTAGGTGAGTTGTGAAAGTTTTTCCTTCTCTATAGTTTCAATGTAAGCCCGATTAAAACAAGCAAAATGGCGCATCAACATGACAGCGAATAAAAACATCGCGGTGGATTCGATTAAAAAAAAAGTAACCATAAAATGTGCACACATTGGACAATAGTGATATAAGATTTTCTTTTTTAGCTACTGGCGGCATGGTGGACAACTGCTGAGCACGTCCACCTCACAGTGTAGAGGTGCAGGGTTCGATTCCGGCTCCGGCCTTCCTGTGTGGAGTTTGCATGTTCTCCCCGTGCCTGCGGGTGCTCCGGTTTCCTTCCACATTCCAAAAACATGCATGGCAGGTTAATGAAACACTCCAAATTGTCCCTAGGTGTGATTGTGAGCGTGAATCGTTGTTTGTCTATGTGTGCCCTGCGATTGGCTGGCAACCAGCCTCCAGCCGAAGACAGTTGGGATTGGCTCAAGTACGCCCGCCACCCTTGTGAGGATAAACGGATTAGAAAATGGATGGACGATGGTAGCCAGGGATGCACCAACGACTACTCGGTTGGGTGAGAAGATATGGCGCTCAGGAGCAAGGCGAGAAAAAGTTGTAATTTCAGGGACGTCAAAACAAAAGTCCCCATACTGTTATGGTCGAAATAACATTTAAGTCTTTGCGAGTCACAAGAACTGACGACGGGGTATTTCAATGGAATAACTGAGTCACCAAACCCCGTACATCGCAGAATTGGCATCACTTTGAATGAAGCCCGCTTTTAAAAACAAATCTCGTATTCTTCACAGCATCTCGTATTACAGTTACGAAAGTCGGACGACATGTTTTACCGATAGCTGAATAGTGAATACACGTCTATAGGAGTGTTTACGGTCAAATAATTATTTTGACCCCCATCAGCATCTTGTTAGTCCGATATCGAAAACGTGTAGCAACAACAGTCTACCAATAACTCGCTAATGACCCCGAGAGAATCTCTTAATCGGTTGGTTACAGAGTCATTTTACATACCTTTAACAACCACTTTCAACATCCCTTGGAAAACATCTCAGCTGTCGTTTGCTATTCCCAACATCCCGGACGTGACGTCAGTTGTTGTGTTCACGCATTGGTTCCAGATTGGAGGAAAAAGTCGTGATGTGGGCCCTGATTGTTTCAGTAATTTCGTCTCACAGTTGCAAAGGAAGCAAAAATGAAGGAGTCTTGAAAAAGATTCCAGCTTCAGTCATTTCCACATGACCGCAGATACGTTGGGAGTGGGGGGAGGGTTAATGGGATCATCAATTTGTGTACATTACTCTACCATTACTGTAAGTCGAGAGGTAAACTCCCAAAATGCCAATGCTAATACAATGTACCACTTTTGTCAATTACCGGTCAATTTTGAAAATGTGCATCAGCTCATTTTGATAGCTGTCAACTTGCTTTTATGACTAAAAGCTGCAGCCCCCCGACCATGCGTAATTATTCCGATTCTTCACAGCAAAAAACGCAGATTTAATTCATTTTCTTGAATCGAAATCGTCCTTCAAAAGAACCAGTTCATTCGGCAAATTTGTATTTATTTTGATTTGGCGCATAAGAACTAATGCGAATAAATGCATACTTGTCAATTACAAAAGATGTTAACAGATCCACCAAAAATACAAAATAAATTTAAAGTTTTTAATTTAATTCCATGGTCCATCTTGCAGTGTTCATAAATTTGTCAACGCACCCATCAATGTCAGTGAGCGGTGCTCACGCGGACAATCCATCCGGACAGTCCAATATCCATCATCGTGGGGCGGATTTTCCGAGTAACTAATCAGGTGTTGAGATTCATCCACCGACTTCGATAATCAAGGTTGAGAAAATACATTAAAATTCTTTTAAACCGTGGTTTAGATGTCGTGCGCGCGTACATATTTTTTTTAACCCACTCTGGAGTAATGTGTCATGGTGTCCCCTTGCGGACATAGCACAGTATTACGTTTTCATTAACCTCAGCAGTCAAACAGCAATGGTTCTATTTGAGCAAATGGTTCTATTTGAGCAAAAAGTAAACGTATTCAGGTTATGAGTGAGTAATCGATTGTAGATTAAATTAATCCTGCCTCATATTCCAAGTGAACCAACCACATATACAAGGGTATGGATTGTCCAACAATTGTTTAGATGTACAGACACTGCAATTTAGCATTACTTATGAAAGAACCGCCACAAATAAAACTCCAGTTTCAAATTGACAGATTTATTTCTAATATGAAGATTGTGGAGACACCATAATTTTCATTGATCTTCAGCCAAGTGTTGTTTTATTAAACAAGCAGACATGGAGTTAGACAATCTGTACCAAAATGCAGGCTCGTTTATTAGTGAATAAGTGATGAATTCAACACCGGCTGTGCTTCAAGCTGCAAACAAATGAGACAGCAAATCAGATTATCACCATTTTGACCATCTACAGGTCTACTGAATTGATTTTGGATTCCTTTGACACATTCAAGAAAATTATCTGCGAGACGTTCATAAACAAGTTGAACTAAGTTAATTGTAAGAAATGTTCTGTTACCTGTCTTACAATCGAAGTTGTAATTTGTCTCAGCCTGGTCACCTAAAGTTAAAGGAGGGGAGGAAAAAAGTGTTTGAAAAGAGCATCAATTTAAATCATGGTCAAACATGTTCAACAGTCCAGCTGTAAGTGCACAATAAAGATGAGGGTCACACGTGGGGCACACGTTCAAATGTTTGACAGGAACAAGTCGTGAATATGCGATTTACTTGGCTGGTAATAGTCGTAGATCTTGACCGTGGCTGGTTTCAGGTCGTGCACTGGGATTTCCTGGACCAGCTCCAAGTCGTGGAATATCGGTGTATTATTTGGCAGCTGTTCAAAGAGAACGGCAACATGAAATCTCAAAATTGTTTTGAAAACATTGATGCTCGGCGGCGCTCATTACTCACAGACTCCAAATACACAAGCACACGATCTTCCTTCTGTTCAACACGATCAACCAGCAGAGCGCCTTTGAGCTGTAAGGGTGGGGAGATGGCCATGTCATTGACATGTCAGGACAACTTCATTGCTATACCCTATTGTGCTACTCATTAATAACTTACTCTCTGGAAAGACATTGGGTCTACTTGAAACCCAGACAGCAAATTGATTTCCAGGATCACCATGTTTGTACTGCTTTCCTTCCCACTGTATCTGTGGTTTAAAAAAAAAAAAAAAAAAAAAAGCAAAAACCCAAAACAGTTATCGTTTCAAAATGATAGCGTTACCCAGGGTGAGTTGGAGTCGAGTCTAGTTTATTTTTAGAGCCCTTGAACACAAACGTCATATCTCAGGTCTCTACAGTTCAGATTGATGATATCCACTGGCACTCATCCCCAAACACAATTTAAAACAAACAAAAAAACCTCAGGTATGTTTAAAAGGTCTTTAAATTTTTGATTGTTTAAAAATGAGAATTCTACTTTTGGATTCATAATTTAGATATTTATGATTTTTTTTTTCTCAGTTGATCTTGGTTTTTCTCCAATATGCCATTTTATTAGTGTATCGTGATTTTGTACGGCAAATTCTGCTGGCAATGCCACCACTATACAGTCCTGCGATTGTTCAAAGGAGTTGATTTCTTACAGAGATTTCAGCCTCAGGTTGAGTTTAGATCTGCCAGGTGGGCTGGTGCAGTTTGCATCAGTCTGCACGGTGACACTCAGGGTAGTGGCCTCAGTGGGTGCGGGAATGTTGTAGAGAAGAGTAGTCTGAGAGACAAGCACACAAAAAGGTCACCAAAACACTCAAACCAAGAACAAAAACATTCAACTCTGCTTTCAGCCACCCCGAAGCAGCAGCAGCACATCCGGGTAGGCTACATTTTTATTAATCCAGTAAAATTACATCAAGGTTATTTTGTTTCGCATCAGTCTGCACGGTGACACTCAGGGTAGTGACCTCAGTGGGTGTAGGAATGTTGTAGAGAAGAGTCATCTGAGAGACAAGCACACAAAAAGGTCACCAAAATACTCAAACCAAGAACAAAAACATTCAACTCTTTCAGCCACCCCGAAGCAGCAGCAGCACATCTGGGTAGGCTACATTTTTCTTAATCCAGTAAAATTACATCAAGGTTATTTTGTTTTAGGCATGCTGAACATAGCCAGGGTAATGCTAACCACACCAAAACGCTGATTTTCTCTCTGATCTCCTTTTACCTTATGAACCCTCTCAAGCTCTGAGGTCCTCCAGCTTTTGAGCCATTCCAAAAGGTTAGAACCCGTACATCTGGTGAGGGATCTTTTCAGTTTCATCCCCACCGTTCTGCCAGTGAACCTCAGGGTCGCAGGGAATGTTCTTGTTTTCAAAACTATACCTCTCTAATCTAGCTTTTAACATATCTACTTTTAACTTTCATGCTGTTACTATTCACTTGTACCCATTTTTATTCTTTTGTCTTCGATATGCCCTTGTATTTTAATCTGCCATTTTAAAATATTTTAGTCTATAGGGTGATAGGTCATTGAAGTTCCCAAATTTTTGTTTATGTTTTTGCAATAGTCATTTCTTTTCCAGCGTGTCCTCAGAGGGATCCCTCTGCTCAGCTGTGGTGGCCCATGCCCCCCCTCGGGTCCCCCAATTTGCTGTACATCCTGGAAACCTACGGCACCACTGTACTGGGGGTGCTCATGCTGGCAGACTGTGGCCTGCGATTAAGTCCTGGTGCAGAAGGCTCTACGAGATGTGTTCTCCCCACAAGATACTCTGGACCCACTCCTTGTTCTTTTAGTCAAACTCCTCTTTCACCTTTGTGTTTTCGATGTGCATATGTATGCTTGGGTCCTTGTGGGTGGGGTGGGTTCATTTTTTAACCATGTGAAGCACTGAGTTACATGGTCATGTATGAAAAGCACTCCACAAATAAAATTATACAGTATAAACACTGGGACTTTGTAATTTATTTAAAATGGGAATCATGTCTGCAGACAGACAATTTAATTGACTTTTAGCAGATTTAACGCCCTCATTTAGGTTAAATTGCGATGTCAGAGGCAGAAGATGAGCCGTTCCCAGTACTACATAAATCGATGCCATTGATCTGTCCACACTTTGCCTGTTGTTTTATGCTATAGCAATCAATTTAAAGTAGTGAAAATGGCTTGAGAACAAATCTATAAACTGCAATGATCTATCAAATACTACCACTTTATGAAGTCATGATGCTGTATGTGTTTTAAATACAATAAAAATGTTTGTTATTCAAAGACAGTAAATGTCAGTGGATTGTAACTACAGTTTACTTAAATTATAATTGGTTAAAAAAAGTACAGGATTGAAGTTTGCCATATACATATGATATCGTTGCTCAGCTCCGATAGTAAAACCAGTTACCAAGAGTACCATAACTCAAGTGCTGACTGACCTGCAATGAAGTGCATGCAGACCCCTTCACCTCCACACTGTACTTTCCTGTGAAATCCTTTAGCACCTCTTCCTGGTAGAGCAGTTTGTTATTCTGATTGACTTCAAATGTCATCTGGCCACTGGGAGATGATACGATCACTGAGCTGGAACCCGCTGGACTGAATACCAGAGTGGAGTAAAGGGACAGAGCCTGAAGGGCCAGCACTGTGTCCTGTAACAAATTTATAAAGCAGATAAAGTCACCATAGATTACAAATCCTCCCAAAGACAGATTGCCATGTAAAGATGTGCAATCGCATAATTTAAAATGGTAATTGTGATTTGTCATGACATTCAGGTGACCAAAACAAAAACACAAACTGTTCATTAGAAAATTAGATTTCTTTTCACCAATGTTAACAGTTTTTTTCTGGGTTGCCATTTGCATCTCAGTCATGCAACATAACGTGCATCTAAATCCCATCATCTCCAGAATATTCCAGGAACTCAGAGACAACAGCATGTGTACTGCAACGATTCACACATTCCTTCTAGGTTAGGGGTCCCCAACCTTTTTTGCCTCACGAACCGGTTTAATGTCAGACAATGTTTTCAGTGACCGGCCTTTAAAGGCCGGATAAATACAACAAAATATGATATGACCAGCATGAAAACTGTGGTATTTTCGAAACATAATAAACACAAATCATGACACGAGGAACGTCCTATCCGCCAACAACACTCTCTGGTTGCTATGGTAATGTTGACACGTGCCTTCAAAATAAGATAGACCACAAATACAAAGTGCATGAAAAATACGACTCCCCATCGCCGCATATTATGCAGACTATACTTTGTGCGTGGGAATCTGCCGTTGATCAATCCGTATTTTAAGTAGGACTCCTGAATCGCCGCATATTACGCAGACTATACTTGGTGCGTGGGAATCTCCCGTTGATCAATCCGTATTTTAAGTAGGACTCCTGACACTGTCTATTAAATGTAGCCTTCTTTTTCTTGAAATTCATAGGCTCCTCCTCTGTCTCCTGGCTGGGCCTTTCCCCCTTCCCAAAGACCTTGTTTTTTTTTTACTCATTTTGCTGGCTCCTGGGTTTCATTTTAGCGGTAACCTATCACATGACTGAGAAGCGCGCCTTCACCTGCGTCAAGAGTGACATTGTACGGATGTAACAGAGGATCCGGTAACTTCTCAAAATAAAACATCTTTCAGATTCCAAAATGAATAAAACTGAATGTAAGTTATATATTCTTTCTGTGCGGCCTGGTACCAAATGAGAAGCGCGTCTTCACCTGCGTCAAGAGTGACATTGTAGACGGATGTAACAGAGGATCTGGTAATTTCTCAAAATAAAACATCTTTCGGATTCCAAAATGAATAAAACAATGCAAGTTATATATTCTTTCTGTGCGGCCTGGTACCAAATAACCCATAGAACGGTACCGGTCCGTGGCGCAGGGTTTGGGGACCTCTGTTCTAGGCAACCGAATTTCCTTGAGGATGTTTGCGTGTACCTGAGTAGAAGCATAGCCTCCATATGAGTTCTGCTGGCTTGTCAGCCATCTGACAATGCTGGAGGCGTAACCCAGGTCTTCAACAGTGGGAGAGGTCCCAAGTTTGGCTTGGAGCACATAAGAGGAGATCTCCACGGACAGAGATTGTGACGTCTCAGTTGACTTCTGGTTCCAGTAAATTAAACCATCTGGAAGGAAGGGGGGGTGGAAAAAAAGATGCATTTGTAACTTTGTTCACAGAGTAAGAGTTCAGCTGTGTGTTTAAAGTTAAAAACACCTTTTTGTATTTTTATGCTGTCCAAGTGCTGCAGAAGTAGAGAGCGGTTCTCCTCATCTCCAGCTAAGGTGAAGACATAAGCAAGCAGCGCTGTTGTGTACGTGTTGCTGTGGTCATTGACAAACCCCTTCAAGCAAGACAGGCTCTGGGTCACTGTGGCATCCTGAAAGAGATTTTTTTGGAGGGCGGGGGTTAATGATAAGCCTGTACCATCAATGGTCTTTAAATTTGAACAGATTTTAAAAATTGATCCTGAAGAGAAAGGAAAATGAAGCTTTTTTGCACAATTGATTTCTCCTTTTGTGACAGATCATGACCCCAAATTAAAAACTGAACCCTCTCTTAATATTAGCATTCCAAGTCCATAGACTGTCAAAGTAGTCACTTCATGACATTTGGCAAAGCTTGAAATACAATACGGCGACATACAAGATTTGGGTGGAATTGCAAGTGGCACAGGTCATTGCATTTCCCCAAATATCCAGAGCCTTTTCCTACTACTAAAAATTTAGTTGGGTGCTGGTTGTATGCTTGTGGGAGAAGGTGATACTTCTCTGGATTTGAAGTTCTCGCCTAAAAGGTAAAGCAATGTACAAAGTAACTGGTGAGAGTTTAACATCTACTCACATTAACAGATCTCCCCATCTCCAAGAAGGCAGCAGTGACGTAAGCACTGAGAGTCACTTCATCAGAAACACCACCCTGCAGAGAGGGAACATCACTTCAGATACAACATTCAGAGATCAAATACTGAGGGCGGAAGAAAAAAAACCCCAAATACCTTCATTCTGTTATTGAAAAGTTTTCCTGACATTTGGAAACAACCATTTCCTCCTTGCTTGCTTTGCAGCCAAGTCTCAGACTCCTCAATATTGGCAGGGTCAATATAAATAAAAGACTTGGCTTTGGCAAAAGATCTCATCACAAAAGCAGTCAACCTGAGAGCGATGAGAAGGCAAAGGAAAAACAAAGTGGATATGTTGGACTAAAATTTCCATAAAATGCATGATAGTGTAACATTTTAGGGGGAAAAAATTATCATATGCATTATTACCATGCAATTGTAATATAAATGTACAATAGAGCACCGTTTATGTTCTCACCAAGTATTCTCGACGCCGGTCCCAAAAGTGCTATACCCACCACTGGAATGCTTATAGTTAAGTTGTCTCTGGTAGCCTGTGAAAAAAATACATGCTTAATAGCCCTTAGGACACTGTACGTACTTCACCCATCCAGTGAGGGAGATTTCATACATTAAAGGGTTAACTGCACAAAAAGCGATACTAAGAATGCAGCATGTAATTCTTATTTTCATGTCATGTCTTGAGTTGCCATAGTGAGGTTTGTAGAAACATTGCACTTAACCAACAAGCAATGGAGCAGCTCCACGTTTCCCCTTGAGGCCCAAAAGTGCACTTTCATCATTTAGTGTGAGAAGGTCTGTGGCCTTTCACCATTAACATTTTATACACTGTCCATGAGATGGCCACTACCGTTTGTTGCATGACCCACCGTAAATGTGCCCTCGTGTTCTGTAACTCGTGAGTTGGTGCAGTGTGTCAAGACATACGATAATACTAGACATATTTGTGTCACATCAGTGAGTGGATTTTCATTACAATGAACAAGTGTTGATGCACTGTGGTCAGGTCATGGTAGAAAAGCAACGTTTTACCTTGGGTGAGTTTGTCCAAAACTCAGTTTTAAGGTACCGGTAATTTTATTTGTGTGTCAGTGCACAAGCCATGCAGTATTTATGGCTTATGTATATTTAATCCAATTAGATCAGTGTGAGCCAATTTAAAATGAAACTTGGTGAGACAAGTTGCAATTGGAGCAGACTGGCAGTTACTACAAAGTTGGAGTAGATGAAGCCGACCATCTTTATTCAAGATTTTGATTGCTCGTCTCATTGTACACCATTTTCTGCAAAATGTGTTGATGCAATTATTTTCAAAATTATGGTTGTAGGCCGGGTTCAAATTTTCCATATTTAGAGTAGAATGTTGATAATTTCTGAATGTTTTTGAAATGGCAGCTGTGCACTTGCCATGAATTCATTTTTACCTTCATGAGAATGTCATGTTTAACCATTGTGTTTCATAGAAAAGAAAAAGCTCACCAAAGACCCAACCTCTACGGAGCACCAGACATGGCAATTTTTAACTTGTCAAAGGAAGTCGAGTGGGCGGGCGGGATAAAAACATCTGATTCTACCTCCCCAATTTTTGGGGAATATTTTCACGTCTCCATCACTACTCTAATTGGCACCGCTACCATTGTCTTCCAGTTTCTCGGTGAGCAGTCTGCTTACTCAACTATTTCTGACGGAACCATAGCAACTTAGTGGGCACAAATGAACATTTTGTGGCCTATTATTTTTATCCATGGATCCATAAATATCTCCTGTGCTGTTGAAGAGGCCAGCAGCAGTCAGAGCAGGGACATATTTTTCAGCTATATACCAAGTAAACAGTGCAACGAGTTAGAGTAATTTGAGTTTCTGGCAGGAATTTTAAACTTGTTTCATGGGCACCCCTTTTAACATGACGTACCCCACTCAAGATCTCAGCACATCTCTGGTCCACAGTGTAGCAGATAAACAGCTTAACCATTTTCTTTGAGGCAATTAAAAAAAAAAAAATCTACACAATGAACTCAATCTGATTATTATCTTATGCCCAACTCCAATTGCCAGTGGGCAATATGAACAACAAAAGGTACATAATTAGCATGGTGCAAAGAAAATCACCATCAGGTTACTACAAATGTCGACAAGTGACTCACCATTAGTCAGGAAATTGACGATCTTTTGTTCGATGGCTGGAGTCAGCTGCTGTGTGTCTTTAAGGTACTGCGCTATATAAATGTTTGGGGCTAACAGTGCCATGTTCTGCTCTCCACAGCCATGTGGCATCCTCAACAGGCCATCAAGGTTCTTCAAAGCCCGGCCCAAAATGTCACCTGCATTCATTATTAAAAAAAGTCACTTACTCAGCACACTGGAATATGTCATTAATGTTATACACTGTTAAGGAATCTAAATGGCAATTCACCAATACTCTAATTGGTTCGTTAAAAACAAAGTTTACCCAGGACAGATATTAGACCACGTGCTGATCCATCAATTGCATTCTCGGGGAGCTTCAATTCGATTTCCTCCTTCAGACTGTTTCCTGTTGTGCAGAGGGAGGGATAATTCAGCTCAGAAAGATACACCAGAAGTAGTAAAAATGTTAACTTGATCAAGATCATATCAGCAATCAAGATACACAAATTATCCAATATAGACCCCCCCACCCCCAAAAAAACAAAAAACGTGGTGTCCACAAAAGGTACCAGGTAGCCCCTGGGACTGCTCTAAATGTAAACACTAGTAAAAAAAAATGTAGTAGTGCTACATCAGTTCCCTAAATGTTGTAATATGATCAGTCTCTTCAAACAAATTCATTGTTCATCAGAACACAATGCTAACATTCAGGGTAATTGGAGCAAATGTTATTTTCAGATGCGTGCATCAAGCTGGTAGTGCCTCACATGAATTTGTATCCATGGAGCTCAGTTTCTGAAGGGTTAGTGATCTCCGGTATACATGAATCAAAAACCCTTGCCAAGAAAATGTTTGCCTGATCGTTTCCACTAAAACTCAACCAACCTTTAGGGCAGAGCAGAAAGTTGTGGGTTTTTGTCACCTCTGTTCCCTCAGCCTAAAAAGAAAACCAAGTTGCCCATTTTATACAATCTGAGGCTTGGAAGAAAGTTGCAAATATTGAATATGAAAAGATCAATAAAACGAAGGTACCGACCTTAACAATGAGAGGTCGTGTGACGGTGTCTATTCGACCTCTTTCTGGCACGCTCACAATCTCATTGTCACAAGAAGCATGAGATGGCACGGCTTCCGCAGTCACGGTCACATTGACAACCCCTAAAAAGAAAAAAAAATAAATTGAAAAACATGCACACTCAAATTCGGATGTCGCCCAAAATCTTGTGTATCAGACCCGCACCCAATGTTGAGGGGGCCAAAGTCCATCTGACGGTCTTGCGCTCATTGCCACACAGGCAGGTGTTATACTCTTCACCAGAAAGTGGGGTGAGGACAAAATCTTCAGAGGGGGTTGGCGTCACACTAACCTATTATCACAAATACAGAAAACGGCGCAGTTATGGGTCGGATTAGGTCACCTCACTGAGCATGAAGCTGTTGGCCTGAGAACACTTTCTGCCTAAAGCAGTGGGTAACAGCGCTGTTTGAGGAAGATTGAGCCTCTACTCTGGCTACCACCCATGAAGCAAAAGAATCAGTACGTATGTGCAAATGGATGGCTAAAATAAGAGTGGATTGTTCTAGTAGAAAACTAAGTTTACTACCATCGCCGGTTCCAATGAGAACAAGTAGCTCTTGGGTAAGGTGAAGTTTGTCATTACCATGATGCACTTGGAGAGGAAGTTGAAGACTGTGGCTTTCAGCTCAAAGTGTTCCCCACGTTTGATGGAATATGGCAGAGTGAGCTCAAGGAAGAAAGGCTGGAAGACTGTCAACTTTTGACGAGGAGCCAAGCCAAAACCCTGAGGGGACAGGCAGAAAGTCTCCGTCTCCCATGTGGTGATGGTGTCTGGGGCAGTCAGGGGCACATCCTTCATGCCGGAATGCCTGAGAGAGGAGAAGCAGGGGTGGGGGGAGGGAAAAAAAAAGGTTCTAAGCTTCATTGTAAGAAGTACCGATAAATGAATCTCAACACAGATGGACAAGTCCCCACAATGTAAAAACAATTACAATATTAAACCAAATCAGAAGTTTGGGCAGATAAACAAGATAAACTTAATTCACTATGCCAAATGTTTTTACTTTTTCCAGGCCGCAGATCTGATAAACTTAAACATCCGATGAAAAGTGTCACATTTGTTTTTCCTCCAATTGTTCGTGCTGCATCTGTATGCAGTTTGTTTATTCACCCAAAATATGATTTCATGAAGGACAATATCCTAAATCTAAAAGGGGGGGATGGATTTACTTAGCAGTAATTTGAGCATGTACATTGCTTGCACATGATTTGAAAAAGTACTTCTCCAGTGAATTCCATGAGCCCGATTTTACAGATGCCAGCTCAATTCATAAATTAAGCACCCCATCATCATTATACAGTCCATAAAAAGCCTGTTATTTGATCATCAACATGAAAAATATCAAACATGTCACCAGTTAAACTGTCATTAGTGACACAGGCTTACCCAACTTCCACCAGGTCCCACAACCAAGTCTCTGGAAAGAAATTACGGATTGTCTGAATTGGGGCGATACCACCCAAACCACCTCCCATACCACCAACAGCAGGAGGAGGAGCCGCCATCGCATCTACGGTTTGATATTGTAGAGCAATACCTAGAAATGTAAAATAATTCCAAATGAAGGTTCTTGCTGGAAAAAAAATATTCAGTGCATCACTCTCACCATAGGGACGATTATGGTATTCTCTTCCCATATATTTGAGGCAAGTGGGCACTCTGACATTCAAATTTGTTGCCATCTTCAACCCGTTATTCTAGGCGGGGGAAGAAAAACAAAATCTTAAAAAGAAAAAAAAGAATTTTGTATGTGCAGAATTGTGATAAAATTACCTGGAAAACTGTGAAAGGATCATCAATATCACGCCCAGGGTATGGCAGAATAGACCTTTTTGGTCTGACTTGTAAACAATCCACTTGATCCTCAACTTTGTAGGGAATGTATGTTGATTTTATGACAGGCAACATTGCAAATATCTGGCGGGGGAGGAAAAAAAATTAAAATGTGTCAACCCCTATTTTAGAGCTTCACAAATGCTGCAAAAGTGCTTTTTAACTCAACAGCAAGGGAAAACGGAAATAAGGACATAGCCAGTAATATTAGCAGCAAAATGGTAAGTGATGACAAATGCGTGTATGAAGGTCATCCAATTTCATACATCCAGAGATTGTATGAGTAATTTATGGCTATTTTGAGTGTTTTTTGCCAGCTTGTGAATTCAGTTACCCTACAAAAGCATCTTTAATTTTTATTTTTAAACCAATGAGAATTTTGAGGAATCATGAAAAGGAGCCATAGAATGCAAGATTGACTTCTTAAACACTGACAACATTGCCAGTCACATCCGTGGTAGGCTAGTCAAATCAAAAAAGGTAGATTCAGTACAAGTAGATCAGAAAACTAGAAGTTTATGAACAAAGTAAAAGCTGCATATTTGTCTTTGCACCATTTTTTAACTCACCCATGGGGCACAGGATTCATTCAAACTATTGTAACGAGTCATGTCAGTTTCAGCATCAGTAAATACTCAATGAAAGCAGCATTGCTGCAACAAAACAGCATCAAGTGTGTAACTGAAATGGTACACCGCTGTCATTCCAGCGTGAATAACGCCTCTGAAGGTAGAATGACATGCAAAGGACAGATGCGCAATGGTGGGCCACTCATTTACATTAAACAGGGAAAAAAAGGCTATTGTGGAACTTTGATGATCACAGTGAGATTTTTTTTTAACATAAGCAAAGGAAGTTCTCCACCCCTATATAAGACAACTGAAGTTACCTTATCGGCATTTAAGGTCTTTCCAGGTTCTTTGATGAGGACACTCTGGTCAACAATGCTCACCCCACACAGAGAGTTTGGCTGGGTTGTCAATTGCAAGGTGTTTTTTTCACCTGGTACAGCTGAATCTGGACAAAACTCCAGAGAGATCTGATGCACAGCAAAACACACCCTTTACCATCTGGACATCCTCCAGCCAACCGAGGTAAATTGACACCACTTACTTTGTTGCCAAAGCATTTTTCAGTGATGTAGTGTGCACTGTGGGCAATGACTGCGGCGCTGGGAAGCACAGCATATGCAACTATCTGGACCTCTGGTGCCATCTCGGCAGAAACTTTCAACTGGAAAGTCACCTCGCCCTCATTCACTAAAAAGCAAATGGGTTAGGAACATTTAGATTAGTTCATAATTTTACATTTTTAGAAAAGAAGGTAAAGAAATGTGGCAATAGCAAATTAAAAATAATTGGGCAATATGCTATTATGCCAACAATTAAGTTTCTCTGAACTCAATGCGATGACGTAGAGCACCTGATTCATCCACAACGGCAATCCGTTTCGCTCCTTGCAAAACAATGGCTCCTCTGGCAAGGACCTGGATTATTTAAGAGGATGAGGACAAAAATGACTCACGTGCCATAACTAAAGTTGCATGTTCATTGATGTTAACAGGTATAAAAGTCCAACATTTTGTTTTTTTTCTCAAGTTTGTATATTCACCAATAGTGTCGCGTGAGGACAGGCACAATGACAAAAGTGTCAACCATGACACAAATATATTTTTTCCCCCTCTCCATTTACAATATATGCAAATTTGAGCATCATTGTGCCAATCAACTTGACAGGTAGGAACAATATTTTAAATGCCAATACATGTACCTGAAAGAAAAGCATGTTAACCAAAGTAAATGAACTCCATATGCGTGTCACACACACACACGCGCACGCACCAGAACTGCTACAACTCATCTAACTGACACTAAAAACTACATCGCCGAAAATGTGGTTGCATTTTCCTACAAACTGTATTCAGCAGTGATTCTCATACTTGAAACCAGGTAGCAGTTTTGTAGGGGGAAGGGCTTAAATATAATCCAAATAAAGTCCCATCATGTCCAGAGACAATGGTATGATGCTATAAAACAGTTATTGCAAGCAAACCGTCGATGAGAGTCCAGCAAGACCATCACTGCATGCCTGCTGAAAACTGGCACTACGAAACACTCCAAGATGACTGACTTTCTTGCCACAGGTAATTTCATGCCTTTAACTATAACTCCACTCACCAGATATATAAGATCGGCAGACCCCTGAGACTCTCCGACTACGGTGTATTGAATGGTGACGTCTTCATCTTTGTCGCAAGGAATCGATTTGTCCTTATTCTTGACCAACAGGTAGCTGACCGTCTTTGTCTCAAGAGAAGGTTTTCGGACTGGAGAAACAGTGTGCTCCCCATTCTCATAGTGTGGAGTTCGATAAGCATATTCCAGGCTTGGGGTGGCGCTAACCTAATTGAGATAAAACAGAACATATCGGTTGAAAGATAATAGCGTCAGAATGGCATTGTGTATGTGGTGCATTTCTGTTAAGATGAAAGTAGCATTTATGCAAGAGTGTGGTCCAACTTACCAAAGTGCTGCCAAGGAATCAAAGTCCCAACTCATTTGGGTTCAGATTCTCACAAAAAAAAAAACCCTCCTATTGTGGCCATTACTTTTCACCAAGCATGCAAATTCTACAGTATTCAAACGGCTTTCCCCTCAATCTGGTTTCTCTGAGGCAGTGCGCAATTTGTATCATGCTTCAAGGTGAACTGAGCAAATTAAGTACACCGCGTATACTTAATTTACGCGGTGTACACGAGGGAGAAAAGAAGCGATGAGATGTGTCAAATTTAGCTTGGCCTGGGACATGACCTTCCCCAAATGAAAAGTTCTGATTTTATTAGTTACACTTCACCATGAATGATTGGCATGCACAGCTCACGTTGAGCATTGTTAAGGAATGTCACGATTGAATATTGTCGATTAATTGAATACAAAATTTGAATCAAATGCATTGTAACTTTTTTTCTAGCGTTGATGTATAATGATAGACTGAGCCATAATCAATGTATGGAAATTATAATTTAGTTTGTTCCGTGACATATTTGAGAATTGGCAAAAATGTTGATCACCACTTTCCAAAGTAAAAGCACATATTTGCAAATGTCTCATTTCGATTAAACAGAAGTCTGATTTCGTGAAGAACTACAGGAATCAGGTTACGACGATTTTCAGCTACTGTGTTTGTGGATTCAGTTTTGCATTGGCATTCAAAGTCTCCCCCCCAAAAAAAAAAATTCTGGCTAAATTTTCAAATACAGCACAGACAAAAAGGTACTGTGTAAACAGTTCAGTAGAATTTAACTTTTCAAGTAACAGAAAAACTGCAATGAGCTCAATTTGCAGATAGATTTATGGATGACCTTATTTCCGTTACTGACAATTCCAATGCCTCTTGTTACTTACGTAGAGGTGAATGTCATCTTGACGGCCAATGGTGCTTATTGAGAAGGTCGCAAAGCCATTAAGGTCAGTGGTGAGGTTCTGTCGGAGCTGTGCTGACCACCGGTCACCCTCAAGCACGTACAGGTCCATGCCACCACTGACAGTATTGTTGTAGTGAACTGCTTTAACCTGCAGGAAGCACAAAGCAGTCTCCGATGATGGTCATCAGCACAAGATTCAATTCCCCATTGTGTTTTGCACTTACTTTGCCCTCTACTAGTGACGCATCCTCATAGATCTTAGGAGTGTCCTCAAATGACAGCTTTCCAATGACATATGAAATTTGTATTCTTTTGTAGTGCAGCTGTGTAATACCTGCCCAATGTTACAGAAGCCTTTATTCCGGCATCAATATCCATCATATTTCATTTCAACTTTTTGTAGAAATTGCCAATCCAAATATTTAAAAGGGAAATACTTGCCTGTCCCCTCTTCTTTCAGTTCAGCATGGACTTCCAGTACATCTTGTACTGCCTTCTGGTCAATTTTTGTGAACGTTGACAACTTCGGAGTAAAGGTGGCACAGCCCATCTTATTTGTCTAGTGAATAGAATACAAATTGTTATCATTCAGGGTTATTCCTCAATTTAGTAATTGTCACCCACTTTTAAAAGTATGTGTTTAAAAAAAAAAAGTGAACTGAAATAATTTGATTATCCAGTTTCTCCCAGATCCTTGTCACTTTGTGAAACACTCAGCCAAGTCTAGCTTTGTACATTCTGAAAAACAAATTTTTGGCCCCGCCCCACCCAAAGTGACAATATTTTTTTGTTGCGAAATTTACCTGTTTTGTATCCTCATAGCAAGGAGGAATCACAAGAGGGCCCTCTTCTGTGTTGTAAAGATACGAGTAGACTGGGCGACACACCTTAAGTGTGGCACTACCAGGCACAGGCTGTCCATATGTGTACCTATTAATTGAAATGTATCATCCCATTTAGCGTGTGGTTCAAAAGCAAGCAGGTCATTCAACAAATGTTTCAAATCTGATTTCATGCCACGAACAGTACTCACTTTGAACATACTTCGATGGCGATGTCATCTTCGACAATAACCACTTCATCTGGTCCATTTATTTTGATATCAAATTTGGGCAAAACTAGAGGTAAGCGTTAATTTAGTATTTGTTCAGTCCACTTTAAAACATAGACAAGGGGGAATTTGAGGGGAAAATTAAGTGTGTTTTTCATACCATATTTCTCCACCTTGAAGTTGTGGTATATTTTGTCTCCGTCAACTGACGCACTGAGTTGGTAGACACCTTGCCGCGCCTCAGAGTTCAATGAGTAAGACAGCTGCAGTATTGCATTGCTCGACGTTTTGTTCAGCCACTGCCCTATTCGGGTGTTGCTGGGATTCTATTTAATTAAAAAAAAAAAAAAAAGCACAATTACAACACAGTAACTCCAGATTCCATTCTTTGCCACTGCTGACCACTAACAACTTCCAGAGATGCAGTTTACGCATCACCATCGGTTAAAAGTGACCTACTTTTTTAAATTTATTTAAATACTTGATCGACTGGTTGGGCACCCCTGGCCTACAGCATATTGCTCGTCTTAATGACAAATACATTAAGCTGCTTGTATGAACACCAAGGATAATATAATTTTTTTGTTTTAAAGGGGACATGGACACGTCAAGGTTTGCATTCAAATACAGGTAGTTGGCTATCTGGCCACCCATAAAGAAAATTAACCCACTGACGAAGTTTTATGCCCATCCAAGTAAGTCTTACAATATAGTTTGTGACATCAGCTAGGTTAGCCAAAGTTCAAGAACCACTGCTCTAATGCAGTGTTCAAAGCACAGTCATGTCATCAACAAAAAAGTAACAGCGGCCAGCTAACACTGTAGCTCTGCTCTTTTTGTCATTTTTTTTAAAGCATAGATTAGCAGTAGCTAACAGGAGCGCCAGCATTCACATCTATGGCCAGCTAACACTGTAGCTCTGCTCTTTTTGTCTTATTTTTTTTTTTTTAAAGCATAGATGAGCAGTAGCTAACAGGAGCGCCAGCATTCACATCTATTTGGCGAGCTTGACCTGGGGTCATTCCATTGAGCTCAGTCAGTACCACGCTGCCTTAGTTGAGAAGTGCATTTCAATGGCTTGTGGTTCAATGGTGCCTGCACGTTCCATCTTACCTGAATTTCAATGATGTCGTACTGCAAAAAAAACAAAAACATTGCATCACGTTAAATGTTTGAATCAAAGTACAGCTAAGACAAAAATCAATACGTATTGTCTCCAGTTTTCACATGAATACATGAGCAATGAAACACAATGAGTTTTAAAAAAAAGTGGATTTTCAGAGTGTGACACATTTAATTCTGCCATAAATTAATCTTATTTTAGCTTTTCAGTTTTTACAGTGAATTCGTATGACAGTCTTATTCTATTGCATGTCTTACAGTACTTTCAAAATTACAGTGAAGGCATATTCATGCTTGCGTTTACATAAACCACATTTTAAACTATTGTTATTGTCATGAGAAGCCCACCGATGCAAAGTCCAGGTCAATTAATACAATTTAACATATTTGTTATGAGACAAGTGTGATTTGTAAAGGAGGGGGTGGGGAGGGGTGGTTCAAACACTCACCATTTGAACAGCAGGTCTGAACTTTGTGTCCAACGAAACGACCCTGAAGTGCACTGAGAGGAGCATAGAGAGATATGAACTTTGACAACCCTTTTTTTTTTTTTAAATCATCATTGTCATCACATTTTAAAAACAGTCTGTGCCAAAATAACCTGCAGCACTTTTAGGTTTATCCACTTTGGCCAAACCCACTTCTACTTAAAAAAAAAAAAAAGTAAAAATAATAAAATTGTTCTCGCCATGCCAAAACTCTATATTTACCTATAAATTGGCACACACTGTACTTCCACACTTAAAAGGGACCCATTCTAAAATGAATCTCCCCTGCTTCATAGCTTATAACATTTTCCAAGTGGTGGGAGAATTGCTCTTTCATGTAAACAGAATTTCTTGTTCCAAGAAAGGAACAGACTCAAGCTTTATTAATAAGGAGTGCTTCACTGCAAGCAATTAAAAACGCTCTGAAAATTCATGAACTCATTTGTCAACAGTAAAGATTAATTTACATTTTGGTTGTTACAATTCATCCAAAGACCTAAAAAAAAAGTATCCAATTGAACAGCAAAAAAGAAAGGGAATGGATTACTTTAGGATTTCAAACTTAATGACCTCAGTGGAATTTTAATATAACTGGTACTGTAGATATGCGATTACCCAACATTAGTTGGAGGATGTTCAGTGGGCCACTTTGTAGTTGTCCGTGACCATGGATTTTACTTAATCTACTCAGGCAAGGTTATGCAATGACGCACCAATGAAGTTGTGACTTGTTTCAATGCCTTTTCATTTCATCACATATGGAATAATTGTTGCTATAAACAGTCAAATGATGTTTGGGAGAGGAAAATTCTCTCATTTTAAAAGTGTGTGTGTGTTTGTGTGTGTGTGGGTACTTTAGTACAGAAATAATGACGTGCTTAGTTACCAGTTTGTCCTGGGAGGTAGATGGGTTTATCAGTCTGGATGAAAGTCATCGGTGTATATACACTGATCATGACCTTCCTGACCTCTCTCGAGCTAAATGTTGCACCTTGTACCTCCACAACCATTTGCCGCACCTCATTCTCTTTCGAAACAGGAACCTGGATTACCGATAAGAGAAAAGACATTTTAAAAAATTATTTCATCCTGTAAAAACCAATGGACTCAGTCTGAATACTATAAATAGACAAATAAATAGTAATGACAATCAATGACATGGCAAAGACCAATCTTCAGTTTGGAAAACGGTATATAAATCGACAGCAAAATAAATCTGTGTTAATGATGTTACATACACCAGGATGTAGAATCTACTCTTCCTAAAGGCTAAACTTGTTTTCCACAAATTCGAAGTTAATTTAAAAAAAAAAAATTAATACATTCATTTAGATGAATTCTAAACATTTGACGAAAAAAAAAAAATACATTCATTTAGATGAATTCTAAACATTTGACGGTAGTTTGTTATTTTTGAATGTCCAGATGGTCGATTGAATACATCGCGCACAACAGTTCAGTATGTGAAATATATTTGCAGAATAAAAGTTGTGGAGATGCCCAAGCTAACAAATGCTTTTTTCCCCCTTAAGCTGACCTTAAACTTGTGGCACTTGTGAAAGTCTTTACTGGATGTTTCTTTGAAGAGGGTAATGTTCTCCTCTTCAGAGTTCAAAAAAACTGTCATGGTCAGAGTCTCATTGGGGTGCAGCAGACTGGCACAGAAATTTGTTTCAGCTCCACTTTCCAGAACTGCAGGAATGCCAACCAGGTAACCTCTACAGTAAGACAAGACAGCATCTCATTTTTTAATCAAATGAAAATTGGAAGAAAAAAAACCTCACGTCATCAGAATATAAACTTACGGTCCTGTCTCTGCCCAAGCCATTCCCATCCAGCTCAAGAAGAAACACCATGTCCAGCTCCATGATTGATTCCGAACACCACCCATGATTGCCAAGGAAGATTCTCAACGTCTGCATCTGCTAAATAGCCACAGATAAACATCCACCCCCTCATGACACACAAGCATATTGTAACCACCCCCTCCACCCACACAAGGGAGGGGGAGGAGGAAAAAAAAAAAGTTACCAATGATAGATTGTTTAGTTCATGCACGCCCTGCATGCTTTTTTAAGCCAAGACTGATAAGTGGGGTGGGGGGGACACAGCCTAAACCTTTAGTTTTACTCAACTTCCTGTTAATGTACTAAAACTTGGCTGAGTGACAATAGGAGGCATTGTTTGACATTTGAAATAAACTAAAAATAACATGATGCAATTATGCTGATGGGGCAACCTGTTTCGACATTTAAAAACTGGCACACAGCAACAAAGGGTGTGTACAGAGACCTTTTGAGTGGCATGCAGGTCACTTCTGCCATGTACGCATGAATAGGACATCTCCCAACTTAACCCTTACACTTGAATTGCTGAGGTGTGTCATATTTGTTGCCTCCAGGTCAAAATATTGCAATCACACAACGATACACAATTTACGCAAGGGGGGGGACAGATGGAATGCCTACAGTGGGTGCTTGACACACTTGAGAGCCTAACTTGACCTCAAACTGAGATATCCCTGAACATGAAAACCTTAGTCATCAAGCAAGGATTTTGACATACCACTGCACTATTGTGAACAAACATGACGCCTTGAGAAACAGATAATTAAGAACAATGACAAACTGTACAAGCATGATATCCGAGCATTGCAATGACACAATCTGCCCGCAACCCATGGCAAGCAGCCTGTTGATTTCATTATCTTCTGGAACTGTATTAACTGTTTTAAAATTGGTGGGGTGTGTACTTGGATATCACAGCATGTTGATTAGTGGGCACCAACCTTCACATATTGTAACACACGATAATTATACTGGCGACAATGTCTCCTTCAGCATCATGCATGCATCAAAACCTTTTGCTGAAATGATGGTGGTGCACAAACTACTTTTTTTAGACTGTTAAGCAAAGAGCAAGTCCTGCAATGTTGCCCTTTACTCAGAAATGGATGTTTGAGTTGACTGTGCAAATAGCTCAACTGCAGACTTACTCGTGTAAAAAGAAAGCACAAAAAAAAAAGTTGTGTTTTTAGTAAAAACTTTGTAATTTATCGTTTTCAAACACTGGTGATTCAGCTCAACACAGGGCCAGAGGTTTAAACCAAATTGAGGACCTTTGCATGATGCCTGAAACCATTAATATATCGCATCAAAACCTTTTGCTGAAATGATGGTGGTGCACAAACTACTTTTTTTAGACTGTTAAGCAAAGAGCAAGTGCTGCAATGTTGCCCTTTACTCAGAAATGGATGTTTGAGTTGACTGTGCAAATAGCTCAACTGCAGACTTACTGGTGTAAAAAGCAAGCACAAAAAAAAAAAAAGTTGTGTTTTTAATAAAAACTTTGTAATTTATAGTTTTCAAACACTGGTGATTCAGCTCAACACGGGGCCAGAGGTTTAAACCAAATTGAGGACCTTTGCATGATGCCTGAAACCATTAATATATCGGTTTTCATTTTTATTTTCAGTATTACAAGGATGACCATATACCAGAGGGATTCTTCAATGATTCCCGTTTTGTACTAGAGTATTATTAGAGGACTAGTAGCGGTGGTGGTATTCAGTAATAATTGACGACGGCACTACCAAATAAGGCCCATTTGGCAAGCATAGCTCACGGGTTAAAAAAACAAAAAAAACCCCCTCTTCGATCAGCTCGTAATTGCAACACTCCAGACAAACACTTGCTGATCCAAAGATTTCGACCATGTCAAAGTTTACAGTGGACAGCTCTGACATGAACAGTCATTTTGCTGAAGGAGTTTTTACACTCTCAATTGAGGCAAAAGGCAGAGCTGTCAAATGTTCCAGAAGTCATTGAACACCTATTCATTCCACTAGCAACATGTGATTGTTTTTTTAATGATTAGTAGGAACCGCAAATGTGCCAGGCTGTCAGCAAAAGTGTGCAGTCATTTACACATTAAACTGACTGAGAAGTAGTTTGACAGCCGATATGGGGCACTCGCTTATGGACAAGCTGCTAATGATAACAAGCACGTATAGCAATTCCAGCGTAATTAGTTTTTTTTTTTTTTTCAACGATGACAAGCACGTATAGCAATTCCAGCGTAATTAGTTGTTTTTTTTTTTTTTTGCCTCCTTTATAGCGACTGAACATGATTTAAGGATAGTGTGTTGATATAAGTGACAACACAGTGACAGAACCTGGCCCCAATTGTCAAGAAAATCAGTCAACCACGATGAAACAACTTCAAAATAAAAGCATTCCAAGGAATTGATATCCATGTATTCTTTGGTAAGCTAAGGTTTATTTTGAAGTTGGCGAATTATGTAACTTCAGCTATCGAGTGAAAGATCATTTCATTGTTTTGCCTGTCATTATACGTGGTTTACATCGATGAATTAAAAAAAAGAGTTATTACAAAATGCTACGCATTTTGGTCTAAGTAATTGACATTTGATAATTTCCGGAGGCACACCCGATGACCTCTCACGGCATACTAATTGTGCCTCGTCACAAAAACAGGTAGGCTACTTTAGGTTGAAGACAAGAATGAAGGGCGGGATGTTAAAACATTTCAAAATTGAATTTACTGGAGTAGCACCCCCTTCCGCCGAGTGTGAACCCGTCTTTGCAATGGAAACAAGACTGGACTACCATTATTGTTTGAACGATGTGTTACTGGTAGATGTGTCGTGCAATTCACACGAGTTCTCAGACAACATGCCACTTTCTTCTACTTGCTAGCTGCTAACCACTGTGGTTACGTCACCTAGCTGGCAACGTCGTAGGCTCAGCCCACGCCGTAGTTAGTCATTTGGGGCCCAAAGGAAACAGCCACCCAACCCAACCTCCCACTTTTTGTACTTCAGTTCAACTTTGACAAAAAGGTTGACTTAAGCGAGGGCAGGCCACTTTTGAAATCAATTATCTGACATGTTTTGTTATCCTACTAATATTTACTAATGTTTAAATAAACTATAAAGTAAAAATTTTAGAAATTTCTGCCATTTCTTGAGCTAGATTGTCATTAAAACAATTTACTGTCATTCATGAGACCATTAATCAACACTTAATATAGTTTACCATTTCAATTCCTTTTATACACACGTTCTCATGATGAAGTGTCAGACAGGTGACATGTCCAGTGTAACACTGCAAGCAGCTGGATTTTGAGTCATATGGCTCAAAAAACACAGCAGAAAGGAGTCATCAATTAAATGGACCGCACCCACACCCCAAATAAATAAATTTTCTCAGGGGAAAAATTAAACATGTTAAGTCCACTGTCGTGGACCCCTGCATACCAACTTTTTGTGAGGGAGTGTAGAGGTCATTATGGGCTGTGTAAACAATACCGTAGACTTACCGGTACTTACTAAAGGTTTCCCTAAAATACCCTATTTGCCATTTAGAGGTGAGTCACTTCACAGTAACATGCAGCTTGTCACATTCTACAGCCAAGAGATGCTTTCACGAATGAATGTAAAAATGGTTCCAACCACAGGCAGCATTCATGCACGGTACAGAGATTAGAGCTTCATGTTTTATCTGATTTTTTGCATGTACGAAACCCAGGTCAAGGAAGATAAATGTACGCAGAATGAAAGGAACAGATAAGTGGCAAAGATGACAATTAATTCATCGTTGACTGAGGGGAAACATTTAATACCCTAACAAGAGCAGCTCCTGAGACACAAAAGCATAGTCCTGTCACTTGAAAAAAACACTTCTCATCTCAAATGGTTGTGTATAAAAAGGAAATTTATCTTAATTTAAAACTGGTGATATCGGTAATTAAAGATATTTCAGTTCGTGTTCCACACGCGCTGCACTGTATTGCACATTGTGCTGTGATATAATTGTTGGCCACTGGGTGGCGTCATGGAGCTAAAATTGGCATGGATTTGAGTTCATAGTGTTTTTTTTTTTTTTTAACGAAATTACCCGGATTGTGCCATTTCCTTTCACACATCGAATTGACGATTAGTGACATTTACTTTATTAAAACTCAAATGAATGGAGCGCACTTTAAAAAACGGACTAATATGGGGTAGAATGAGCTCCAGGAAACTGCCTGACAAACTACTCATAATTTACGAGCGACAATTACCGCCTTAAGAAACCTTAAATTACCAACACTTAAACTTCATGATGGACGATATTAAACTGATAATTTAATACAATAATTCGTATACTATTTCCAAATCGTCAGCTCTGCAAATCAGCAGCCTAACAAGTAACAGCAAACTTCATCTTCGAGATTTGGGAGTATTTGTGTTTTTCTCACCAGTAAGCAGAACGTCCGTAAGCGGCGCGTGACTGTGGCCAGATGGAAGAGGTAGGCTGCTCACACCGCCTTTTAAGTGAATGCGTGTGCTACAGGTGTCGTGCGACACCTTTGATTGGAACTGGTGCCGATTCCTCAGCTAAGGTCCGTCGCAATTGGCTGCCCTACAAGTCTGCATCGGTGTCGAACTGCGGGCGTGGAGGGCCGCCGTCCTGTAAATTTTCCATCTCTCTCTGTTGCAACACACCTAATTGAAATAATCAGCTCATCAGCAAGCTCCTCAGAAGCCTAATATCGAGCCTTTTCATTTACTCAGGCTGTTCGTTCTACACCGCTCTACAGCAACAGTGTAATTTAATAAATGACACATATTTCACAGGCTATGTTATGTATCTTTGAGTGAGGTCTATACATGGCTGTTGTGGGACAGTCATCCCAACTGCTAATTGTATGGTTGGGGAGGCTGGCTGCTGCAGCTTGCCTTAAATCCAAATGGTGGTGCTAGTGCACCACATTGATGCTGAGCTCTGCACACTGCAAGATGGTCGACATTTTGTACAAATTACCAGATTGTCTACTGTTGTATTTCTTCTATCTTGGTCGTGCCACACAGGCTGCCACAGATATCAAGGAAATCGATTCAACCCCCTGCAATTTTTTTTCACCATATTTTATACTGTCTCGGCTGTTTAAATTGAAGTCAGAATACCATAACAACAACATTGTGAGCAGTAAACTATTGTGATGAAAGAGGAAGTATCTGATTTCCCCTGAGACGCTTATTTCATCAATATGCCTGTAAATAAGAAAATCGAATAACTTTTATTAAATTGTTCATTTTAGTTGATTAATTTATTTTTTTTATCCAGCCCACACATTAGATATTGCTCACACAAACACTTTTGTGATGATATTGATTGACTTGATTTACAGTCCATTACATCACTGAACAGTTTTCAATACATATACTTTGGAAATTAACTTTTGAGTGACTCTAAATGTTTTGATGACAGGTAATAATTGCACCAACATCTATCTCATCTTGAATTCGTTTTCTATACCACTTTGCTCAGGGCCTAAAACAGACTCCATCACGGAGTGGTCATTGGTCAATCACAGGGTCACATCCACATAATAAGGCTGATATTTGTTTGTGTTGCACATGTGCTTTGCAATAATGGTCATTCTGATCCCTTTAATTTTATTTTGGTTGACTCTTTTTCAAAGACATTGTAGCCCAATTTCCCCACGGTAAACTGTCCGTCGATTAAGTTCCGTCGATCGTTTTACCTTTGTTTATCTGATTTGAGCAAGCCAGTTAATTAGATACTTTTCAATGTATAAGTACATTATTGTTCTTTATGGTTCTTCATTGTAATTTAATTTACTGACCGAGAAACCAAATTGACCACAATAACCCTTGGATTTCTGTATTTGCAAGAGCAGGTGTATTGACTTCATTGGCTGTAAGCAGCTTGTCACTCAATGTCCTCATCAGACAGCAGTGGGGTGGCTTGATGGTGCTTGGGGGGGGGGGGGGGGGGGGGGGAATAAAGTTGATGACCGTTGTGTTGTGTTTAATTTAAACCCCAAAAGGCAAATTGTGACCATGGGGCATACAATGTGGAGTTAATGACAGGGCTTTATGAAGCACTGGGACTCTCTGTGGGATCAGCCAGGGCCAGACAGAGGTTGGGGTCAGAGGTCCTTGGAGACCTCGGGCGAGAGGGCTTATGAATCAGTATTGAACTTGGAGGAGCCGGCTAGGTTTCAACCATCAACTCACACGTTGCTGACATTGCCAAAGAACCCAGAACCTGGTCTGTAAATGTCTTCTCTCGGCGAGAAAACAACTTCTCTTCCTATCGCTTTCTGGTACAAAGAAGAAAAAATAATGGCAAAACTCTCCAACATAATGTGTGTCAATGAACATTAGAACATCGATACTTGATGTACATTTGGAAATAGTTGGAATCCAGGTTTATTTGGACATGCAAAGAACCATGTGGAGTACTGTGTCCTTCCAGGTTTGTCTGCATACACAGCAGTTGTGACAAGAACTGTGATGCCGATAACCACATTTTGGAAGTCACCTCAATTGTCCAACAAGTATGTTTCATGTGTCAACAGCAGTTTTACTCTCTCTCTCTCTCTCTCTCTCTCTCTCTCTCTCTCTCTCTCTCTCTCTCTCATCCAATTATCGACAGTATCTATGAGTCTTGAACACCTCTGTGCCCAACACAATTCCGCACACCTTTAATAACCTTTCCAAATCAGTCTACACTGAAAAAAAAAGCCTTTAATGACCGCCAAGTTTGCACTTGCAAAATGCAATCAACAACGAAGTGAGTTTTGATTGTGACTCCTTCAAGCTTGACTGACTTTTTTTCCTTTGCTTTATTTTGAACTTTCTGTATTCGCTCGCCTTCCCCCATTTTCCTTCACTCCATCAGCTGCTACATGCTGGGCGCGAGGAGTTTAGGCCTTGTCCAGCCGTGGCATTGACCTCTGGTGTTGACCTCTTGCTTCGCATAACCTCTGAAGTCATTGGGTCACGCCTGAGGCCATCTGGACTTCCTCCAGCTGGCCTTTAACACCACCCTTCAGACAGTCAGGATGGATTAGCCTCCCCTCAGGATGTCGAATAGATAACATTGTTGTTTCAGTCGAGGGACCCCAAGAAGTAAAGTATCAGAAGTTTAGACAGCTACCTCTTAAAAAAAATATTATTTTTTTGCACACAAAATATATTTTCATTCAGCTTTCGATTAAGTGTTTTTCAAAAAATCCATCACGTCTAATTGGTCAAGATGGTTTAAATATGGGAGGCAAATTCAGGATGTAGAAGGAGCATTCGCTATGTGTTGCTCCATGAACTGTCCTCATTAAGTTGTTTGCTTTTGATACATAGATGATTTGCCGATAAGAATCTGGGTCAGCGCTTGGGCGCATGACATAGCACCGACAGTTTTAGAATCGCGGACTATACAAATATCATATGCGGTATAATACATAGCAGCAGTCCCCAACCTTTTTTACACCATGGAATAGTTTCAGACAAAGCTGAATTTTGCATAGAAACAAATACAAATACAACTTACCATTAGGCTAAATGTAGTTGTAATTATTTGGAGTCCTGCACTCGATTCAATTCAATGAGCCTTTCCCATGTTGGAGGTAATGGGACGCAATGACACTTCAGGTGTGGTACGTATGTCCACTCTGCTCCATAATTTGGTTTTGGAAGCTATGATTGAAGAAAGTCTGGCTTAACAAAGGTAGCATGTTGGAAATGGAAGAGAGGAATTCACTCTCTGGATATTCTGGCTTTGTCTTAAACCAGTCTTGTTTTTTTGATAGATGCTTATTCTTCATGCGCCCAAGCAGTTCTGAAGGCCCAATTGCCTCATTCCTCAGATCTAAGTATAATATGTTGTACTGTATTTGCATGCCAGTTTTTTTATGCTGACCAGGAAAAAAAGAGGTTGAGCGGGCTTGGTGCATGAGCATCACCTGTTGCAAATCTGTGATGAACCTGTATTTTAAATATGACTGCTGATATTTGCTTTTAAGTGGTCAGGCTTTTTTTTTCTGTCTCTCATCATTTGACCTTTTCTGATTTCTTTCTCATTTTTCTGACTTGTGAGCTTACTTTTTTTTCCATTGAAATCAGACGACGAAGATGAGTGGGTTGACATTTGTGCAGAGGCACAAGCAGATGCACCTGAATTTCAAAATAAAACTTCTTTCAGACTCTGATCAATCTCTCTGAATCTCTCAGTCTCTGTGGGCGGGGCAAGTGGACCATGGATACAAATTAATGGCCCGGTGTTTTGGGACCGCCAAGTTACTCCATAGCTGGTCAGCCTCAAAAGGCTGTCAGAGGTGAAAGCATAAACTCAAGCAAACAGACTTGGCATTTGATGCTGCATATGGTGATCATTTTGACGAGTCAACCAAAATTGAAGTAGTGCATTTCTTATGTCAATGGCCCTCGTGTGGTTGCTTTGACATTTGGGTGAAATATTGCATCACAGTCTACACAAAGTGAGTGCATACATATGATTTGAATGGGTTCGATTTGACCTATAAACCAACAATATGAGTAATTTCTTGAGAGTGGAGTGTCACTTTTCTACTTGGCTTCAACATCAGGTTATTTTATTTTATTTTTTTCTTTCCGCAAAGTGTTTTTTAAACATTACATTTTCTAAGTGCTGCGATTGGCTGGCAACCAGTTTAGGGTATCCCCCGTCTACTGCTTGAAGACAGCTGGGATAGGCTCCAGCACCCCTCGCGACCCTTGTGAGGATAAGCGGATCAGGAAATTGATGCAATGGATGGATTTTCTAATTGTATTTAATTTCTAGGTTTGCAAGGACTGACCTGAGTATTCTTCACTCGAAAGGACAGACACGATAATAGAGACAGACGATCATGCAAGGAGGAAGGCAAGAACAAGAAAGGAAGTGAGTGTGTCCCTCAGTTGTGAGCATGCCCAGTAGAGCTCGCCTTGCAGCCAGAAATCCAGCCTCTAAAATTTGAAAGGAGGCTGCGCATACTTTTGTTGCCCCTCACTCTCTCTCCGTTGCCTCACTCTCTACCTTCCCTCGCTGCCTCGCTCTCTTCCTGTTATTTTAATTTTAACCAGTAGTGTGTGGAGAGTTGTGTGCTACAGCTGAGCAAGAGCATATGAATGCACAAAGTAAAGAAATGATGAACAGAGACTTTACCTCCAGCACTTTTCCCCCTCTCCCTCCTTTTTTGCCACCTCAGACCAACTTCAAGAGCCTGACAGGAGGGACGTGGAGTTTGAAGTCTGAGAAGTGAAGCAGGATGAGGGTCTTATCGGTGCTGTCTTTGCTCTCCTGTCCAGGTGAGTACCCAGGAAATGACATACAGTACATCCACTCATATCAATTACCTGCATGTAATCCTTCTGAAATCCTATTCTGCTAGGAGTGCAAATACCGCTCAATATCATACAACCGATAAAATCATAGACTCTACTCTGTCTGCTCCCAGTGCACAGCATTCCAAAACCCTTGTGTGTACTTGCATACATGTGTTCAGGGAGGACAAACTCACCACATTTGAACCACGTGGATGTATTAGGGGAAGGGGGGGGGGGGGACGTGCAGTTCGCTGAGTGATCACGTGGGGGATCACAGCGCAGGTTAAAATGCAGAATCATGTTTTGGTTTTCCGGCTCCGATGACGTTGACTGTGTTCTGTTACAATTATATAGTATAGATTGCATAGTTGTATTTGTTGTTTGGTTGTGGTTAAGTGATAAGCTAGCTCAAAATACTTTTAATTTTATATTTTCCATTGAGGCTAATGTTATTGTTTACTTGCTGAATGAGAAATGTGTTTTATTAATAATGCCGTTTGAGTTAGACACCTCAGTCCAAATCCGAAATCTCCTACATCCATTATTATTTCGTTTAGTCATTGTGAATCAATAATATGAATGTCTGTATGAATTTAGCACAGATAAGCTATGGATTCCATTATCACATTGATTCACTTTTGTTATTGAGGTCTCGATATTGAGCTCTCCGCCAGCTCACCAAAACTGTGTTTGACCTCTGTCAGAGAGACCCTTGAGTTCAGTCAAGTGTTGTCTCAGTAGCTTTCTCAGCATTCATTGCCACTGCCAGCTCGGTGACAGCATTGGCCTCCAGGGGACTCATTGTTGGCAAGTTTATTATTCCTTGGATTCAGAAGTGGGGCCACACCATCTAAAAGCAAACAAATAGTCAGGGGAGGATTACATAAGAGCACTTTGTAGGTAGACGTCTGCCAAGGCCAAGCAATAATGACAGATAGATTCCTCCTCCTGCGGTTAGCATTTTGTACAAAAAGGTTTGCTGTGATGATTGTAATTATGTACGTATGGCTGCACATACATTTAGTGAATTAAATGGGAAGTTACGGCCATGTGGTTTGTTTAAGTGGTATTGCTGTACAATCTCTGATGGGGATTTAGTACTTGTGCACCTTTAGTCAGCACAGCATTGATTACCTCACCTGTTTAGCATACAGTATACAATGTAACAAGCTGTAAGCCCTTTCATCCCAAAGTTGTGTTTCAATGACTGAGTAAGTAGCGACACACCGTGAATGTGTCCGTTTTTAGTCTTAGCAAGACTCACTAGTTTTGCATGCATCATCGTTCTCAAACACGCTTATCACGGATGACCCTCCCCTCTTCCTTCACTTTCTTGTTCTTACAGTATTAGAGATAGTGATGGAAACAAACCTGCGTCAGGTTTAACCACTGAAATAATTCTGTAAAGTTGAATGCTGTGATATTTCAAAACCAAAAAGGGGTACACTCCATCCATTTTGGTTAGCATATTGTGCAGGGAGATTTCACCCCTGGTACTCTGGTTGGCAATCACTCATCTACTATTCAAACTCCACAAGCCAATGCTAGTTTTCTACCATGTTTCACCACAGGAGAAGTCTTATTTCATTTGGCCTATTGAGCTTCGCGGGGGAGGTTTCACATTTACATTCATGCGTCGACATACTGGCACACACATCCCAATGAAAAAAAGGAAACAAGACATCATTTCTGTTAGGTTCGGAACAGAACCAAATGATATTTTTGGATCCAAGAAATGCAGGCTCAGACAAAATGCAACAACAAAAATATTTATTTACAGAAAAGCCGCATCGACAAAGTACAAACAGAAATCGCTGTTCACAAGGAGCCAGGAAAAAAAAAGTCCTAACTTCTATCTTGTTGCCAATAGAGGAGACCAAAGTAAAATCAGGCTTCTGTCGTGGCCCTGGAGGTCATAAGGTTCAAGTTTGAAGTCCCTCACATATTCTCATTTTGGAGTTTTCGAATCTATACTCTCACCCTCAAGTATATAATCGTGGCTTGGTAAAAGTGCCGCCGCTGTTATCGTTCTCTAGGAAAGCGTTTCTTGTACTGTACGTCTCTTTTGCAGAAGGGATTCAACTATGTGATAAAATGCAATATTTTGAACCTTTAATAAATTGTGAACATACACAAAAGACCACAAAGATTGACACATTTACTGGATTCCTGGGAGCACCACGGTTCACTTCATGAGGGCTTGGCTTCCATAGAACTCAAAACTTTCCTATTCAGTTCATAAAAGTTCCATGGTAAGAATATCATGCTTTGAAATTGCTTAGTGTCAGTCATTCAATGTGGAAACATGACTTTTGAAATACTGTATGAACCAAACATAGGCCGAAGAGTGCTACGAAACTGTGTTGCACCTTGGAGGCTCCATTTTAGTTTGATTTCTAATTGCATTATCAAGATGTGGTATCTTAACTCTGAGAACTTGATTTCATATGTAGAATGATTGTGTTCACATGTACTATATGTTCAAGGTCCAGTTTAGATAAGACTCATTCTGTCCCTCCTCAGCATCTGTTTAATTAGAATTGTCCAAGAGACTGCGGGCTGCTGCAGTGAAGCGTGAAAATAGGTGCATCTTCATTTTTATTTTACTTGTTGTGATATTAGCAGACCACTCTGCTCTATGGTGGGTGTTTCCTTTGACATGCACCCAGACGAACAATTTGGTGGTACAGTGAAACTCCTCTACAACGAAACCTACATGGGCGAAAATACCCCCTAGTGTGAAAAAATTGTCATGCATTAAAGTAATTCCCACTTTTCTGCTCTCCCTACAACGAAAACCCCCCTGTTCCGTTTTATGAAATCTTTTTCTCTGCTCTCCTCGCGGAGATTCACAACAATGAAAACAAGCCTTTCGCAAAAGTCTAATCCAACCTCAGCCAACAGCGACCTCTGCTGCTTCGCTCCGAAACTGCCACAGCAACTACCACAGTGGTTTACACATGCGCAGTAGTCCAGGAAGTATTTCGTTGCATTGCTAAAATGGCTACAAAACAGACCTTTGGATGCCAAGCAGCTAAAACAAGAAGAGCTCTGACGCTGGAAGAGAGGGGAAAAGTGATCAGAATGAAAGACGGAGGAAGCAAAATAAAAGACATTATCCAAGAAATTGATGTAAGTAAAAGTGAATGCTGATTGTAAATTTCGCAATTTCTTTCCGTTTTTTTCTCTTTGTGCAAAACTGTACATTGGCTATACAGTACAGTACTGTACAGTCTGAAGTATCTTTGGGATTAGGATTGTTTGATTTCAAAAATCATTGATTTAAATTCCAATTTAAATCAGATAAAAATTAACAAATCAAATAATTGTATTTTCTATCAATTATTTTTTCACAAATGGATAGAAAATTTGAATGTTGCTTTACAACATAAACAAAAAATGTAACTGATTTTTGGATGGTTTTTTTTCTTAGTTTTGTATAATTAAATTTATTAATTACACATTCATAAGTTGTTACAGTACTGTATACAGTAGACATATTATTCATTACAGTACTGTTATGCTTCAGGTACATTTTATAGAAGTCAAGTTTGAAATTAAATTCTAGATATTGAAACTTCCTTTTTTATAAAAAAGTATAAATGACTTTTTTAAACCAACAGACAAAGTAGAGTGATTAATAATATAAAAAATTGTAAGTTAATGTTAAACAATATCAATATACAATATACACTATAAAATATACAATAATATAATAAGTGTATGCTCATATTTATGCACTACGTACAGTATTGGAATAAAAATAGAGTACACATATACGTTTTGTGTGCGTGTGTGCGTGTGTGTGTGTGTGTGTGTGTGTGTGTGTGTGTGTGTGTGTGTGTGTGTGTGTGTGTTTATATCTGAGAGAAAATTTGCTCCAGTGAAAAACCCCCGGTTGTGAAAAATTTCTTGCTGCAAACATCATTTCGTTGTAGAGGAGTTTCCCTGTAGAAAGTGTTTTTGTTTTTTTTTTTTTCTTTTTTGTGCAGTTGTTTCATGCTTATGGCTTAGTGGAGTGGAAGACAAAATTGGTTTCGGAATACAGTGCAGTCAATGTAAGGTCCCTTGTGCATATTCTGCAGAGAGTACAGACCCTAGACTAGCATGGACCTCCAACCACCAGGCCACACAGAGCGAAGTGGGAAACAGAGCTTGAGTTGTGTATTGCGAAATTCTTGTTCAAACAATCAAATCTTTTGAGTGGATTTACTGAATGGAATTACTTCATGAACTGATTTCACAGCTTGGGGCCCTTCAGAAAGTCTTCCCATTTTTACCCCCAGATCAATGGCCATGATCCCAAAATTTCTTTCTCTAACAAGTCCATTTCTCCTTTAAAGGGGATTTCAACTCAAAAATGTTCTATCCAAAAATTTGTTCAATACGTCCCCACTTTTCTAAACTCTGCATTCTAATTAATATTGCGTTTATGGAATATGAATCAAGCAGCAAAATCTACCCGCAATGTTACAGTTTTTCTCAGTCGCGTTTGTACATTCTCAGATCAGAAATGAAATCAGCAAAACAGTAATTGCATTTCTCAAAACCATTTATACAGATTAGCAAAACATAATTGTTCTGCCGCAAAAGCCATTTTCTTTCTCAAAACTTGTGGGTTTGTTATCACGATGCTACTAAGAAGGAGCCCTTTGTTCAGGTGTGCGTGTATATGGTTGCCTGCTGCTTTGCGTCAACTTTATCATTGACTAGTGGGCCGTCCTAATTCAACTGGGATAGGCTCCAGGCGTGTCGTGTGAAATATGGACGGATGGGATTTTAAACTTCATTTCCTTCCATCCATCCATCTTCAAATCCGCTAGTCCTCATCAAGGTCGTGGGTGTGCTTGAGCCTATCCCAGCTGTCTTCGGGCAGTAGGCGGGGGACACCCTGAACCGGCTGCCAGCCAATCGTAGCGCAGACATAGACGAACAACCATTAGCGCTCACAATAACACCTAGGGACAATGTCGAGTGTTCAATCAGCCTGCCATGCATGTTTTTGGAATGTGGGAGGAAACTGGAGTACCCGGAGAAAACCCACAGAGGCACGGGGACAACATGCAAACTTCACACAGGAAGGCCGGAGGCAAAATCGAACCCTGCACCTCTGCACTGTGAGGCCGACACACTAACCAGTCGACCATGGTGCCGCCCTAAATTTCACTTCATCATTTCATATCACTTATCAGTTTGTCATGTGAGATTGCTGTCACATCCTGCATTTTTCTTAAAAAAAACAAAACAAAACAAAAACATCTATTATTAGCATCATTGTAGTAATTACATTACAGTATGTGTCTTAAAAAAAATAAAGATACTTATTTTGGGAGCTGTCAGAGGCTTTTGTTTGATTGTGCACGTCGATGTCGGAGCTAGATGCATCAGAACCAGTAGGCGGTCATTTATTTCAAGGACATGTTTACTCCTCTCTTTCTGGTAGAAAGATGTTTCCCATGCATTCTTCCCCTGGTCCCACCAGTGAGGGCCAATCCGAGGCTCCATGATCCATCACGCAGCAGGCAGTCGTGTTTTCTGAAAGGTCCATGAACTTGTTACCTCCCTTGTCCTGCCAGACTGAATTTCAACCCCCCTGGCCGGCCCCCATCCTTTTTTTTCTTACGTCCCCTTTCTGTGGTCTTTCCTTTCCAACATCGTGGTCGCATTGAAATAATTGGACCGAATTCAGTGTGACCAGGTTCCCACTGCAGCTTCTGAATGGAGATATCAAGTCGAGTGCCATGATTTCCCTCTGACCTCAGATATTTTCCCTTTGCCACAGCCTGCCACCCTCTGCGGTGGTGATGGGTCATCATCATGACTCTATCATCTCCTTACAATGAAACTACAACCATGGTACATTATCATACACACATAGTGGATCTACAGGCCTGGAGCTCTGTCTGTAGACTTTTATTTCCCTCTCTGTTGCTTAGTTCTAGCCTGTTCAACATGGCACACATTCAAAACGGCAACCTCAAGGGGCTTTTAGTCCTCTGGCAGAGGCCAATCACTTTTTGCTCTGTTCTCTGTTACAGAGTTAATGAGCAGGGAATAGAAAGGAAAGCTTATGGTTTGCTGGATGATGGAGAGGCTGTCTTTGTATTTCTCCTGGAGGAGCCACACAGAGCCTCAAGTGAAGGCTTTTTTTTTTTTTTTCACCAGAGGCAGAAGTGATTGAGATGTGAGAAACATCATTACTGACTCTGGGACTCAAGGTTTTAGATACAGCGATTTAAAGTGAGCTCCAGGGGGTTAAGCCAAAGAGGATTTCCGTTGCAATGTACAGAGATTGAATAGAATAGAATGCTTTTATTGTCATTCTACAAAAATCGTACAAGGAGATTGCACAGCTTCTCCTATTTCGGTGCAGACATCAAATGAAATAGTAGGGGAGAAAATAATCATCAAATCATAAAAAACGTTTTCATCACGATCAAACTGAGTTACATTGTTGTGGACTATATCTCTCTCACCTCCAGCTCTGTGCCTTCTTTGAATGACTGCTGCGATTATTCTCTCACATAAGATAATGTGGGTGTTTTGGAGATGGCACTTGACAGTGTGGGAGGGCATCGGAGCGAACTTGGCGAAGCACTGATCTGAAGCTGGACGATGGAGCCGTTGCACAGGGCAAAGTCTGTACGATGTATCAGCTGTCATGAGTGTGTTTGATTTACTTGTCCAGACGTCAGCAGTGATGTGAAGTCCTTTGGGTTGACATCATAGAAGGTACTTGAGGAGAAAGAGCTGAGATCAGGTGTTCAAGAGGGCCGTGTGTTCCGTCTCTCTG